ATACATCTGCTTCATCTGTTTTTTCGGAATTACCTTTAATATGTCACACGAAATTTGCTACTTTCTGCGCATTCCTCGAGAGCGAAAATGCGTAAGAAGCTAAAAAATCACTGAATGACTACAAACTTGTAACTCCTTTCCCTGTAAATCCAGATAAATACGTTATCAACCTGTCTTCTATAAAGCCGTCACTACATAAACAAACCTTATCACTCGGGCCTAAATTTTGCGTTCCTCAAAAGTATTTTTCAGAACTCGAAGTACATGCACAACTTTAAAATCAGTATGACCAATGGGAGCCTCTTGTTCCCGTTTCTGATGACCATCATGATTGGTTCAAAGCAAAGTTAGTTGACATTGCTCACCAATTCTGCAATAGTCGTGCAATTCAGAAAAGTGTCCTAACATCTGAGCACTTTAAAACTCTAAAAGAACTAAAATATAATACCGACATCGTTATCATCAGACCAGATAAAGGTTCTGGTGTATTTACAATGGACAAAGTCAAATACCAAAGTAAAATGTAATACATTCTTGGAAACAATGATAAATTTACCAGAGATTCCGCTTCGGGAGATGTGAAGAATGTACAAAATATGGTGATGAATAATCTAGTAAAACTCTCAAACATAAATGCAATTAATGTAGAGAAATCTAACTCACTAAAGCCCACGGAGTCCCAATTACCACACATGTATAGTCTGCCTGAAACACATAGGCCTAACATTCCTCTCCTTCCCATATTGTCAATGTGCAGATCCCCAACCCACAAACTTGCAAAGTGGCCAGTTGAAATATTAGAGACTATTAGGAAAAGCTTCGGTAAGTTCGCATTGGAAGATACTTTTGAGTTAATTGGTTGTCTTCGTGACGTTGATATAAAGGACAAAACCATGCTTTCCTTAGAAGTTGATTCTTTATTAACAAATGTCCCTCTGTTACAGACGGTTGACACTTTATGTGATTGTATCTCTGACAGCAATTTCCTATTACCTGTGTCCATATCTTATTTAAAAGAGTAACTACCATTATGTATTAAAATGTTAAGTTTATATTTGAGAGCGAGTGTTTTCACCGGATCGATGGTGTTGCTATGGTAAGCCCCCTAGGTCCATAGTTAGCTGATATATACATGTCTCATGTTGAGAACCCAGTGGAGGGTGTGATTGGCAAAGTTTTTCTATAAGAGACATATGGATGACATATGATTACCCGACAGACGCCATAGAAACCCCAAACCAGATCAATATAGTACAAAACAGCAAATCGCTAACATACGTTAAAGAGAATAATGATTGCTTGTCATAACCCGCTGACAAGATGGATCAGTAAAACGATCTGTTTACAGAAAGTCCATGTGGACTGGGAAGTATCTAAATTATTACAGTTTCTGTCCACTACAGTATAAAATGACATTGGTTAAGTGTTTGTTCCAGCGCATTCACCGTATATGTACTGTCGACACCATGGAAGAAGAAAGACAACACTTTACTGAAATATTGTTAGATAACAGTTACCCGTTGAGGTTTTTTATGCGTTACAGTGTCAACCAAGGAGCTCTTCCAATGCAATCAGCTCCCAAAAAGGGTATTTATATATTCTTGCCGTTCAGGGCTGGTCAACAAAGTCTGGTCACTAAACAAAGATTTGATGGTGTGAAATATTCCCATATCAGGAATTAAAAGTCAATCTGAACGAAGAATATTCTTTTCAATTTCTCTTTAGGTTCTTTCAATTATAAAATATAACATTTGTTGTCGTTACAATAGTGGCCAGTTATGAGTATGATAAAGACTCAAGGTGGCAATTAATAAAACCTACTATGCAGCTAAACTTATCTTCATAGAGAAAACGAGATTTATGCTATCGTGCAAACCCTTACAGTATCCGAACGATAGTGTCACATCCCATTGTGTTTACCAACTTACATGTATGTGTGGACACACAATTGATCCCGGAAGTAGATGTCCAACATCATCTGTAGCAAAGCACATTTTAGAGACGAGTCATAAGGCTGATTTCAATAATACCTTTAAAGCCATATATAAAACAAGGTTGGGTCACATACTTAAATTCGTTGAAGCCTTGACCATACAAAGACTTGAACCTGTCTTGTGAGTCCAAAAGTTATTTGTTATCGCTTTGAAGCTGCTTTGGTAATCCAATTTAGAACCAAGGTTTAAGTCACTTCACAACATTTTCAACCCCTTCTTTGTTCATGTTTTTCTTATTCACAACTTTACGTCGTCCCCCTACCCATTATTTGAGACATTGACTTGTACACAGTCTGATTCATGTCTTCTTGCCTTATATAAAACTGTGTATGACAAGTACGTGTGTGATCAGAATGTTCAAAATGTGTTGCGCAAATACATCACACGCCTTAGTTAAACGACGATATTAGTCAGTGATAAAAAACCAGTGTGTAAAAAATGGACACACATAATAACTATGAAGGATCTGAAACTATGTGCAGCCACCCTACGTGAAGAGATGGGAAATAACTAGAAAAACACAGTGTTGGTAGGAGGCTGAATATAGACACACTTGCATACAAAATGTTATTTAGCTGTTCTAATTCAACCTCTCTCGGAAATATTGGACATCTAGAAAGCAACTTTCATGGCTAAAAAGGGGGACACAACGCCTTCTACAGGCGAAGCGAAAAGCCTGGTTTGCGTGGCGAGTATCGAAGAGTCAACCCGAACATGAAGTGTACCTCGAACTCAGGAATCGATGTAACATACGAGTCCGGAGTGATAGAAGGACATTTCAGAGAAACCTCGCCAATAAGCTTCTCGTGAAGCCCAAAAGCCTATACAGGTTTATGTCTCAAAGAAAACCGACCAACCAGGGAGCTTGCAATCTAGTGGGTTCTGATGGGAAATCTCTTACTAGTCTTGAAATGGCAGAGACATTCAGTCTAGCCTTTCACAGGCAACTGAACAGTAACGAGGATTTTACCCCCACAAAACATCAAGATTACAATGCAAGACCAACGTGCGAAAACCTGCTGGGTACATTTCAAATTACCCCGGCTATGGTACTCGTAAAATTGGGAAAGTTGGCTTCGGGAAAGTCTGCAGGTTGCGATGACATAAGACCATCCGTCCTGAAGCAGTGTTCAGAAAGTCTCTGCCAACCCCTAAGTGATCTGTTTCAACACTCCTTTGATGTAGGGAAACTTCCATGTGAATGGAAACGAGCCATCCTATCCCCTATCTTCAAGGGTGGTGACCGGCAGAACGCGACCAGTTACAGACCAGTTGCGCTACTCCCAGTGATATCGAAGATTTTGGAAAGTCTCATTGACGACCACATGAGAAAATACTTCGACGGGACTAACCTACTCCATGAAGCACAGCACGGTTTCAGGAGGGGAAGATCCTGTGTGACGAATCTTCTACTAGCTTGGAACGATTGGACACTATCCTGGGATGTAAAGGTACCAGTCCATGTGATCTTTCTCGACTTTGCGAAAGCATTCGATACATTTCACCATGGTCTGCTCCTTCACAAAATAAGCAAAGCGGGTGTTTCTGGAGCACTTCTCACATGGCTGAAAGATTACTTAGGCGAGAGAGAATTCTGCACTAAAGTCAACCGCATCCGATCATCCTGGCACACCTTGGCATCAGGGGTTCCTCAAGGTTCTATCTTAGGGCCGTTGATGTTTTTGATTTTTATCAACGACCTGCCCTGTCAACTGAACTGCTCTGCGCTTCTTTACGCTGACGACGTAAAGATTTGGAGAGCAATAAACTCATCGGAAGACTCCGACAGATTGCAGGCTGACCTGCAAACTCTGGGAGACTGGGCTCTGGCTAACGGAATGCCTTTCAACCTAAAGAAGTGCAAAGTAGTGCAACTTCAATCCGGCAGGTCACAGAGTGCAAATTACACCCTTGGTGGCCAGAACTTGAGTTGTGTGCCATCAGAACGCGATCTAGGTCTCATTTTAACAGAAAAGCCAGACACCAGTGTAAATTACACGAGGGACGTCGCCAAAGCTTACGCTACTTTACACTTTATGCATAGGCAGCTGGGAGCTCTTACTCCTAAACTATTCTTAACGTTGTATATGACATACGTGAGGCCACTCCTTGAGGTGCATAATATCATTGCTCCTCCGCTACTCAAAAGAGATGCTAACATTCTAGAAAGTGTCCAGAGACGAGCGAAAGATACAAAATCATATGAGGAAAGACTGAAGGAATTAAGTCTTTTCACACTAAGTTACCGTAGTCACAGGGGAGACCTCATCACCGTCTATAAGATCTTAAATGACCAGGCCCACCCTAATAAAAGCATCCTGCCATTAAGTGATTATAGGCTTCCACGAGGTAACCCGCTAAGGATAGCACACAAGAGACCAAAGACTCGAGTGCGTTCACATTTCTTCTCGCTTCGAGTTTGCCGTCTCTGGAACGCTTTACCGGCGGCCGTAACTACAGCTCCATCTGTGGAGACTTTTAAGCGGAAGCTGGACAATCATGCGGAAATACATGGTTTGTGTCTCAATGGCTTATCCTCTTAAAACTTGAAACCACATTGTCAATGGATAAGCATACAAGCTAAATCACCACGACCCGTCCTGTCTTCTCCCACTGTACCGACTACTCTATCTTTTCTTTCTTTCTTTATTATTTCACCTTTATTATTTCACTTATCTCAACCTATATTATCTACACTACAACCTATTACTATTATTATTATTCTCCTTTTATGACTACACCGAATGACCAACGGGTGTTAGGTCAAACTCCATTCACGGCAGCAGCTGAGTCCTAACATACTGCACACTACAAACCACAATCTTGACCAATCCTCGCACCACTCCTCTTGGAGTCTACCAGAGCTTAAGCAGTCGAGTGGCGGGATTTACTACGCATAAGTTCACCGAAGATCTGGAACCTCTACCTTATAATCAAGAAGCGATCTCAAAGAAATCACTGGTTTATACTAGCTCGTAATCAGGATATTGGATATTGGATCGTTCACTGGATTCCAACGCAACATTTCTCTATTGCGCTACTTCACTCTGAAGGTTTAGATTTATGTCTTTATCTCTAGATGACAAGCTCTTGGGGGAAAAGGTCCACAACTACTGTAGTAGTAGCAGTGAAGATGAAGAAGAAATTGAAGATAGTGGAGAAGAAGAGGGGACACTAAATAATACTCCCGAGCTTGTGAATCCACCCATAATAGGAAATCCAAACTGTCCTCAGGTACCTTATATATAGTATTAAGGCATCACTTTAGACTGGACCTAAAGGCGTTGTTTCTGACTACAAGCAGTTCAAAAAATTGGAAAGGGAAAAGGCTGCTGAGAAGGAGAAGAAAATCTTAGAGTATGCAAAGAAACATTCTCTCAGCTGTAGACCTTATGTAGGATCTTGAGTAACATTTGATTTTCCCTCTAAGAGTGAAGATGTTAAGGAAAAAGAGAAAGAGAAGGATGTATTAAAATCATCAGATGACGATAGTGATGATGAGTTTTTGATACAATATAGACAAAATAGGATGAATGAACTTAAGCGCGCTAGAGAATGTTTGTAGGTTTTAAAGTTAAAAATATTTAAATATTTAAAGGCCTACTTTTAATAAAATTTATGATCTAACGATTGACACATTTGTTAGAGAGATTGATGACACACACAAGGATACAACTGTCGTTGTCTACATATATGAAAACGTAAGTGCTTTCGACTTTATATAAAATGTAAAGGGTAATACATCTTGCTCAAAAGTGAATGTTTGCTTGGACACAATATTCCAGGAATATCCACATGTAAAGTTCTGCAGAATAAGAGCTTCTGATGCCCGTCTCAGTTACAAGTTTGTAAGTTGTTGCTTGATGTTTTGAATAGCCGTTATTTACGTTTGTTTTTTGTTTTCACTTCTGTGGATGTGATGTTTTCTAGTGTTCAGGAGTGACTGTTATTTGTTCGCTAATTATTGGCGCATTTATTATCTTTGAGTATTTCTTTATCTGGTTATCTTCGATAAGTTGAGATATGACAAGTTCACTAAGAGGAGTATTTCCTTCAAAGATAAAAAGTACTTTCTGATAAGAATAGTTTTGTAATAGCCATCGGCATAGATGAACATTCACTAATCACTTCGATGTGTGTACTTTTGACATCGGTAAAAATATAAATATATATAAAATATCAAACTCCCAAGTTTCTTTGAACTCAGTGTTTCAATCTGTCACATTCCTGTTCTACAGGAGGACTTATAGATCTAAATCCTAAATCTTAGTCCATTTATATGTAATAAGACCACGTCGTATTAAAAACATTTCAGTGTCTACTGAATCCCATTTGACTACCAGTGGCATGTAACATAAAAGTATATAAAGTATTTGTTTTCTCAATGACTTCCGACTACTTCTAATGTTTCACTAGTTTTCTAGATCTTGATGAAGTCATTAATTTCTGATACATTTTGACCCACAGTTTTCAACCTCTTTTTCACAGTCTCATCATGGCGTTCCTGCTATTCTAGTCTATAAGAATGGGGAATTGATTGGCAATATGCTCAACATTACTAAGGATCTTGGCAAAGAGTTCTATCCAAATGATCTGGAGAATTATTTGATCGAGTAAGTATTGTGTGTATCTTATGAAGTTTTTATGCTGATCACGGTCAGTAACTGCGTCAGTCGTTCACTGGCAGAATGGCTCACCAGCCATGCTTGAGGTTTGGTTTCGATTCATGGGTGATGTACTCCCAAACCTCCCTCAGCCAATAGTAAACCTGGTAGAGAAGGTTGGTTGAATTTGAGACTATAAATCCCACCCAGTAAAAATACTGCTTCGTGAGCCCTATGTTCCACTCGGGAAGCTATGAATATAAAAAGCTAAGTTTGCAGTGAATTCTTTTGTTTCTGATAAACAACCTAAGTACAACAATTACTTCGTCGATCACTACTTCTTTTTATTTTGCTATTTCGAAAGACTTCATGACTAACTGCAAGGGATAGATTTGATTGTCCATATAGTTTTCTTGTTTTATTTCTTAACAAGTGGTATTTAAATAAAAGGTAGTATGATTCTGAATGGTCATTTATTTAGTGGTCTAGTTTTTTGGTAGACTTATCTATGAATAATCCCCATCCAAACATTAATAGGAAGACAAGTATTTTAGCTATGAAGCTCTTTCCAGCGATTTCATTCATATACATTTTCACAAATGAGGATAGCAACAAAAAGGATGTACTGTTGTAAGCATATTTGCTGATAATATTCAGTACATAAGGAAAGTTGAATAAGGGCAGTGGTTACGTAGCGAGATAAATTATTCAATCAGTAGGTTGTAATTGGGGTGTATATTAGAAATAAAGGAAACGTAGAGATTCGAAAGGGTGAAAATGTTAGTGTTAAAAGTGGTTGAAAATAACAGGATAATTGCTAAGATTGTAGAAGTGGTTAAAGTCTCTTTTGTAGGCAGTGCTCCAGTACCTCAATCTGGATAGTTAAGTCTTTCCCAATGCGTGGAAGACGAAAGGGTATTGTCTTCAGCAGGTTGATGTTCACTTTGTAGATCACTTTGAAAGGGAATTTTATTAAACATTGAGTGGACGAAGTGTTCGGCTGTTGTAATCCCTTTCATCCAACCACAGAGGTCTTATTAGTTTATATCAGTCCTTTATATCCAGACTTAATTTATTCTACTCTCATTTGTCGCTTTGTGGAAACACGCTGTACACATCAAAATTTTAATTGGTAGAAAACGTTGGGTTAATAATTTATACAATCAGTTTAGAGTTAGGAAGTATTTCTCTTATATCACTTCAGCTATTCGCTTAAACACCTGCTGAAGCAATTTACATCCCCACAAACTTTTATTTAACTGTCCGTAATATTCGCGTACTAAGACAAGATACTACTTTGTGATTAGGGAAATTTTTAAAATATTAAAAAGTTGGTGGTGTTAGATTCACGATTTCAAAATCCTTTTAATAAATTCTGGACAAATTGAATGATGTAATTAGGCTCGTTTCTCAATATTACATTCATTTGTTCAGGTTTAGCATGAAATAAATCAAGCATCAATTAGACTAGATGCTTTATCGGCATGGGGCTTAAGATTACTAAAGAGCATCTATTTTGTCATCTGATATTTGCGCAAAATAGTTGGTATAGAAAGAAACATGACAAAAGACAGTGTAATTAAACGTTGTAAAGATGACGTAAGAAAGAAATGTGACTAAGTTGGAGATAAGCTGTAGTTGATCCTGCGATTGGTTACAAAGCATAATACTGCAAGTACCTAACTATAGGCTTTAGTTGTTAATCATTACCAATTGTGAAATTCAACCGATGAGGTTGTGAAGCTGCACTGACTAAGAAGCCTGGGATATGTATTGCAAATACCAAGCCACTGCCTTCTTATTCGAGCAATTTTTAGCTGACATACAATTAAATTTGGATTAGAGGTGGAGATGGTCGAGTCAAACAAGACATAACATCAATTCATGAAGTCTTTGGCCTTTCGTTTGGGTCATGTGGAGAGGTGTAGACTACTTGGCTGAGATCAATGACGGGTGACCGTTGGTCAAATATGTCAGGAGCGTTCTCGCAGGCGCATATGTGTTCACTGCTTGTAATCTTCCCGATTCATTGTATTCTTACTAATCATGTAATTATTTTTCCCCCTTGCATTTCTGCTTATAAAAGTCTCTTAGAATTTTCGTTTCATGCTACGTTTATGTATGCTTTTATAAAGCTGTACAACACCTTGAACTACACTTTGTTTTCGAAGTTCTACGTTGAAAATTGAGAATTGCATTTCAGTCAGGGCATAAATGACAAAACAATACGTGCTAGAATTGACTCAAGTTATCTAAACTTGTCTTTTCGCAACAAAATCTTTTATTTATCGCTGTGTTGAAAACTGTTTTTATTGTTACCTTCTGAAAGTGTGTAAATCATGAAAGTAGGATTATTGTTAGTACTTCATGTCGCCGGTATCCATAATTTGTTGGTTAATATAGTCTTTCTAACACACTTAATGAGGATATTTGCATCACTTAAATACTAAAAGTGTTCTGGCTGGGCGATGAAAAGTGGTTCAGTGGTAGAATGCTTGTCAAGGCCAATGCACTTCTGGACCTAGTCTAGATTACTATACGATGGAAAGCCGGGAAGGGAGGAAAGGTTGGACATGAAACTAGCAATCCCGCCATGTAAAAACGTTATCTCTGCTGAAACTGTTAAGGCTTAAAGTCTCATGTTCCACTCGGAACGGAAGTAATTAGAAGCGTGAACACTGTGACCATTAGTTCGCTTTTTTCCGTCAAATAGTATTCTATTGTTTCATTGTATTCATTGCTCAATTCTTCGAGTCCGTATTCGCTTTTTATCTGCATTTATTTTATTTTCAAAAACAAAATAATGTTTATATAGACATGGGTTTCTGCCGGACAAAACACTGGTTCAGTCTACTATGGTGAAGGATTCATGTTCTCGCTCTTGAAGAATTGCATTTGATACGAATCAGTCCATTTTTCGTTTTCTCAATTTTATTTCCGTTAGTATTACAATTGTTCTTTTCTTTTCTTGTAACTTTTATTTGAATAGCATATATATGTATCTTGGTGTTGTAAATATATATATATATATATATATATATATATATATATATATATATATATATATATATATATATATATAATAAGGATATTGTAATGACTTATTAGAAAAAATAAACAGTATTCACAAACAATATATTTGTTTTCTAAGTTTTTGTACTTGTTTAACTGAGGTTATTGTTGGTGAGTATGAGTTGAGGAGATAGGTGATTGTTAGTAGGCTCTGTCGTATATTTTGTTTTAATCTGAGGTCATTATATTCCGTGCGAACCTGGCCGATACTAGTTGGACCTGCATATCGCAATAAGTCAACGAGTTACACTGGATGGAATAAATATTCCTGCAAGTCCTGTCATGCCAGGTAGGTCGTTTGAATACTGGTCAGGCTATAAACAGTTACCGTCGTAGTCTAAGTCGCTCAGAGTATGTTGAAATTCTGAGAGCGAAGTCGTACTACTGGTAAGTAAGGATGTAACAGCAGTAAAATATCCCACCCAGGCCTATCAGCAGTCAAGATATGCTGCAGATTCTCTCCTGGTGGGGGTTAAAAAAAGTCGACCCCGGAAGTTGCACATATCGACTCACCTAGCAGCAACACGTAGCCAGTGGTAATGTCTTCGGAAGGACGCAACTCTACAAACCATTTCGAACATACCGTGTGTGACTGGTATCAATCAATTATCCAATGGAATTTGCGGTGATGCAGCTCTGTCTCTCAAGTATTTCAGGAAGAAATCATCTCCCACTGTGTGGGCAACTGGGAAGTAATAGCCGCCCAAACACTTCTGTAAGCTCGCGAAGTTTCCGTGAATATCTCTCGGACTCGTCCTGCTCAAAATCGGAGATCATTTAGTTGCTACATGACCTGGATTTTTTAGTTGCTGAACCCAAACTACGTCTGAGTGGTCAAACCAAAACACGGCATCAATCCATGAAGTCGTTGACTGTTGGTGTAACCCATAAAGATTCATTCACTCTCTTTAATCCCCCAGCTTCATTAGATTTTCCAGTACATTCCCGTGTCTTGGCACTTCCTCTTTAACTACTTTTATGTTTGTGTGCCTTATTTAGCGCAAAGTTTTACGTCAAAAATTCGGTCAGTATGTATGTGTAATTCGACCCCATACAAGGGATTTTAAAGCAGTAACATAATATTTATGTACACAGAACTTTTGGCAATGACCTTTCCTACCCCTCCCATTTCAACAAGAAGGAAATATATAGCTATACTGTTGGTCATCTAAAGGGAAATATCTTCCAACCACCAGTAAGATTTTGCCTCCAGATTAACATCAAAGTGTAAGCTACTTATATAATAACTGCGAATTCCTTTAATTTTGTCTTTACCAAGCAGACCGTTCTAATATGATAGGATCTCAAATAACAGCCGTTTTAGAGAACTGGTTTCATTTCGAATCACCAAGATATTCTACTTTTTCCACCCAATATATAAGTGCCAGCTGTTAGTCGTAGATATATGATGGTTCTACGGCTGGGATCCACATGGTGACTGAAATCCACTATTGGAGACAATAGGTGATACGTCTCAAAATTAGGCGCAAAATGATTCATATTTATTTTGATATTGATCATAATATGATATTCCTTCATCTAATATACCTTTATTTTCTTGTCTAATGGCATTTTGTGGCTTATAATTGCGTTAGTTTCTTCCTTTTATCCCCTCCTCCGTTTATTGCGTACTTAGAAATGCTAAGTTTTATGGCTATCTAATGTACATCACCTGACGGTTAGGAATCAGTGTTCGCCTCATATTAGCCCGACTTACGTCGTCGGTGGTCCAATGGCTGAATGCTTACCAGCTACATAGGTGTTCCGGGCTGGATCCACGACGAATGCACTCCTAAACGTCGCCTAGCTTACAGCCAGCAGTATGAACGGAAGGTCAGGCGTACGGTTAACAACCACGTCCCGTGAAAACAACACCGCTACTGAAACCTCGAAAAATCTTGAAACTATGTTTCACTCGGGACGCAAAGGAATGAAACCAGCACCTTTCATCAGAGCAAATAACTCTGCTAGCGACTATTTCAGGTCCTACAAGTGGATCAAATTACTTTGAGAATCTGTGAAGTATGCGGGAATACATGCATTATTTTCAGCACACCTTAATACATACAAAACAGAATAGTAATCAGATTAGTCATTTTCAACTTGTGCAACTCGAGATGGAATTGCACAACTTTTGGAAACAAAAAGTATTCAGATCACAATACGTAGTAGTTTGGTTGATACCATAAATGGTAATCAAGAAAGCGAACGAAATAGCATGATACTGCATACTACTAACTGATTGATTTGAGTGGTTGGAAGCCATTCACGTCCATTAGCCAGATTGTGAAGTAGTCTAAACACTGGACGACCATTTCGCTAGTTTCTGGAGGTATTTCCATCAAAAGTGTACCTGTTTAAGGATACAGTAGCTGAGATCTTAGTGCATACATATTAAAGTATTAGTTTCGTTAATAACATGACAGTAATTTCTTACATATTACACGATATATATGTTTCATTGCAAATTAACACCCGTAAGAAATAATAGGGCATTAAATTCCAACCCAGTGAATGATTGGTGATGTTCTCAAGCGACTTTGCAAGTTTTGGAATAAATAACCGAGCAACTGATTAACTGGTATTTGTTTAAGTTAACTGATTGATTATATCTGATGGAAATTATCGGTCTCTATTGACATGTCTAGTAGTACAGATGCCTGATGTTGATAGTGACTAGCAGTGGAATCCAGCATGCGCATTTCGTCTTATTCTGGACTCGTCATCTGGATAAGTAACATATATAGCGATTCAGGCCACTCTAAATTTTTTGTTGGCGATGTCTATTTGGCTTTCTTTTTAAAACCAAAGTCGATTGAACAGAGTCTCAGCAATCGCAAGCTTCATATATTTATTCCCATTAATGAATTTGAATAAAGCTTACTTGTTTTTTGTACTTCAAAGAGCGCATATCATACGCGTTGTTCAGTCACTGGGATGTAGCCGTCATCATGTACCTAGCCCTTAGCTTAGCGTTGGAACTGACTGAATTTTTCTCAGTGTGGTCGTCAACAAGCTAGAAGACTCGTTATCATGAACCTGAATAGTTCAGTGGCAACGGGCCTGATTGAAACTCTAGGTGACACGGTATCGAATCTTTGGGGCTTCAGATCCCCCTTGATGGTGAGTGAGAATACATGGGCAAGGAACCTAGATCCACGGCTTCCTGCCGAATACCACCTAGTAGCAATAGAAATGATATAATCAAACCAGTTTTAATCAAAGTAATTATCTTTTAAAAGCTATATATATATAGTGAAATGTTTGTTTCTGTATTATTATGTTCGACTAGAGACAAATTGTGTAAAGTGAATGATCTTCAAGGTTGTGAATCAGTAAAATAAATAAACAGATCGACAGATTAATATATCCTAAATTCAATAAAAAAAATTAGACAAAAAGTAAAGCAATAAGTAAACAAAAATAAAAACTGTACACAGGGGAGCAATAAGTAAATGTACCTTGAATTAGCAGTAAGTCTTATATTGCTTTACATTTCGGGAAATAATAATGATATAGAAATAAAATTATCCATTATCTTTGGTGCCCACACACACAAGCATTTATACATGAATAATGTACACACAATCGTATATATGTAAACAAACGGAAAGAAGTATCAGTCAAACAATGGAATGAAAGGAAAAGAGATATGTTCAGGTGGATCGAAGAAATTTGTTATGTTTGTTAAAACCCAGTGTTACCTGGGACAGATTTCCCATGTATCATCACGTGATAAGTCATATTTTATTGTGTGACGGCTGAAGAGTAAGTGGGAGAGCCGGAATGCGTAAGTCAATGAGTCATATTAAGGAAGACTGCCTCTACTTTGTCTGTTTGTGTTTTTATGCTTTACAAGAATACTGGAATCTAAGTTATTTCGCTTTCGGAGTGGAAGACGTCATCAGGGCATCTGTTCATCGTTACTTTTTATCGGATGAGAGGGAGAGGCAATATACGAAGTGGAATGAAGTAAAAATACAGGGAGAATATGATGTTGAAAAAAATCCCTCTTTTTTCTAAGGAAAAATAAAGAAGAGAAAAGTTGACATTTAGCTTATCTGTGATGGAATCATTTCTTTGAATGTAGTGATTTCAGTTGTTGTAATTCAGCTGTTAAAGCTTCAATCTAGTTTGTTTAAGAGATAAAGAAAAGACAAACCAACACATTACAAAGTATGCGCAACAAGTCTGAAAAATATTATTACAAATTATAAATTACCGCAGAGTAATGATAAATAACTGAAACTGGAAGTAAGCTTAATCATGATATACTTATACGCTGAATTCTTGCAGTTGTTCCACTGTCTACATGATTTCAAAATGTGATTTACTAGTTTAAATCACTTACGCACAGTGACTAAGTGATTAACTCATAATTGATAGGGTCATTTTTCTTTGTTATTCAATCAGATACTCTACAGTATTTTCAACAGGTAAAACATTGTCATAAGGGACTAAATATCCTTTCTTTTTTTATCACTTTTACTTACTTACACCATCTTTTGTCTGAGTGAACTTAACTCACTATGTATTTCTTCAGATTTCGTTTGTTTACTTACTAACCATTTTCTAATGACTGACATAGTATTATAAGTTATACACCTCAATACCTTGCTGCATCTCTTCTTTTCAAGAAGGTTCACAGTTGCATTGCATATACAGTATTACAATGATTCATTATACTTAACTAACTTAATATTTCGATTCATCTATATTTATATTATGATCATTCTTAATTATTGTTTAGTATTTATTCCTGTCTAGTGAACTAAAAGTATGTATATGTTAAAATTTTAATAAGGAAAAACTACCGAATTTCATTATTCAGGTTGTAGGCAGTTAATAGCGCGAGAGAGAGATACACTGATAAAATAAAACGGATCCGTTTTATTCTGCTTCATTTGGTGTTATTGCCCAGTGTAAGTTCATTAGGGGTATATTCTTATATGTCTAAGACGAGTGCATCGAAAAGTATTTATGCAGTCATACTGAAGTGAAGAAGACTGACAGAGGTGTAATATCTGACACCACGCGTTGCGCATTCAAGCTAGCCATACAAAACATATATCTTATCAGCGATTCTTTGGGTTCCTTCTTCCCCTTCTCTTCTCTAGAACTGCTTGCATCCGATGGTGTTATAATGTGAGGAATTATAAAGTCTAACAGCATGTGTTTGCTACTAGTGGATATCGTCTTTCATTGACTGATGTCATCATTGAACACTGAATACGGTGGTTTGAACATGTACTATGAGGTTAAGCGCAGTGTTAGGTAAGTTTGATCGATTAACATGGCTGCGAAATGTGTTACTTACGCATACCAAGCCATCAAATTACTCAGTAAGCAATGTCATCTGACATCGGATTAGGTTGAAAAAGAGTTGGTCGGAATAAATCGCGGCACCAACCCCAAGAAGTTTTGCTTGATGGTTTTAGTCATGTAAAGACAATATGTATATGAATGCGAATACTAGCTCAACTTACCTTATCTTTTAATATCTTATTCTCTGTTGCATAACGATTAATTAAAATATTATGCTGAAATGTACTTGAGCTATTTACAGGTAAGACATTCTGAAAACTTATAGATTCATTAAACGTATTCAATGGATGTGATTTCCTTTTTTCAACCTGTTCATCGGTATTATGTTCGGCATAGATTTGAAATATCCCATTTTCTGTTAGTGTGATGACCAAGCCTTGTTGTAAACAAAACTGTTGAGTAAAAATTGAAATAAAGAAAAGAGAAATAGGATGAAGGAATTTACTTTTTATGTATTAGTGGGAATTTATCCCTTTATTCTTATTTTCGCTGTACAGAAAAGAAGAGTCATTAGTAGTAGTTCACAGTATTATTCATCATTCGAATGTAGAATTATAGAATACCATACAATGCTAGGTGAGTCTGTGGGGTTATCTGGGTTCGATTCCCAGTCGACGCACGTCTACACCACCTGCCCAGCTCGTAGTTAACCCAGAAAAGAAGGAAGGTTAGGCATGAGGCTAGTAATTCCCCCTACTGTAATTTCATATCCCACTCAAAACGCAAGGTAGATTTAGTCACAGTCTAAAATCATTTAATAAACCACTGAAATCTATAGAGCGTTAGAGAAATATTTCGTTCTGGTGTAGGACTGTTCGGCAGGAGTGTGCACACTATCCCCAAGTGCTTTGTACGAAGACTAAACAGTTATTTACTGACATTTCATTGATCGCATGGAGGATTTCATCATGAGCTGACATCAGTTAGAGAACCACTAGAAAACCTGGGAGTACTGGACAGCTCGCCTTGTAACCAGAAGGCCCTGGGTTCGAACCCCGGTGGGTGCGTACTACTGAAGAGCCCCAAGCTAGGACGAAACAGCTGTTCAGTGGTTCTCTAACTGATGTCAGCTAATGATGAAATCCTTCATGCAATCAAGCAAAATCCCTACAAAACCAATACTTGACATTTCATTCTCAATTTTTTTCCCTAACTGACATTTATAATCACTGTAAAGACAACTTCAAAAACCAGTCGAACTGTTAGCTGAATTCAGTAAAATATGGAGTGAACGAATAGTGAATAGTCACGAAATGACCAAAATCCTACATTAATGAAAAAACTAACAATTCACCTCCTGTCTGTTACCGTTTCATGACTTTGTGAATGATCAATTCCATCGCCGAGCTGTATCAACTGGATGGACCACTGAGAACCACCAGTGGTTGGTGGCCAGCTATACCAAGAGGTGGAAATCATGAACCATTGGAATCTAATTGTGTGATTGGATGATAACGTGTTCTTTTTGTACATAACTTGATAGTCTTAGACTGGATTCCTTGTGGAGTTGTGAATGTGCACTGTTGGGGAACACAAACTAGGGTAAACAGCTGCTCAGTGCTTCCTCTTTTTTCCATTGCTCTGTTAATTACAACAGACAACTAGCCTGATAGTCTACCAATCAAATATCACCACTGTCATGTTCGACTTATGTAATAATTATACAGGAAGAGAACTCATTATGGATAGAGACGCTCTCGCTCGGAGAAGTGAATAACAACCGAGAACTCTTCAAAGACTTCTGCGCTTCCGATGATTTGATGATTGGAGGCAGCGTGTACAAACGCACGGATATACACAACGCAACATGGATTTCACCTGATGGACACACCATAAACTAGATAGACTACATCTCAATTCTGCTCGTAAAAGTGGAGACGCAATCTGTTGGATACAAAGTCCAGAAGGGGAGTAGATGTGGGCTCAAAACATCATCTAGTTCAAGGAACCTTCAGGGTGAAGCTGAAATCCTTTAGAACAACTCGAGGCAGAACGCCACAACTCAAGTTCAACATCCAGAAACTGAAAGACAAAACTACACAATACACTTTTACTTCAGCCGTCAGAGTAAAGTGGCATCACCAAGGAAACCTGTATGGAAGAACATTGGAACTCTCTGAGGGTAACGTTCTGGGAAAGGTGTACAACTGTTCTAGGAAGAAATAAGAGAAAAAACAAGGAATGACTCAATGGATACCTGGAAGCTAATAGAAAAGAGGAGGAGGATGAAAGAGAAGATGACTCAATGCAAAGATGGACAACAGAAGGAGAAACTAAGTTCAATGTACATCTCACTGAATAAAGAAGTGAAGAAAAGTGCCAGGAAAGAAAAAAAGACAACTGTATGACACACTGGAAACTGAAGTAGAACAGGCTGGTCGCAGGTAAAAGAGACCTCAGAACATTATATCAGATAACTAGGTCTCTATCCGAGAAGAAATCAACCCAGATGATGTAACCAATAAAAGATGCTCAAGGGAACCTGATTACGAAGGAGAAACAAATAAAACAGTGCGTTGATCAATTCAAAGGACTCTGGGACCGACCATCACCTGCAACCCGTACAGAAATACAACCAACAGTGGACACTGATCCACCAACAAAAGCAGAAATCTTGAATGCAACCTAGCTACTGAAATCCGGAAACGTAGCAGGATCAAACGGAATCCCACCTGAAACACTGAAAACGGACTCAGAGACTGCAGCAGTCATACACATGGTACTAATGCAAAAGGTTTGGAAGAAAGGAAAAATGCCTACTGATGGGGACAAACGATACCTTGTCAAACTACCGAAGAATGGCGACTAAGGCCTCTGCAAGAACTGGCGCAGAGTCACGCTCTTGTCCACTCCACGTACAATACTAGGTCGCATCATCCTAGAAAGAATAAAAGATGCACTGGATGCAGAACTCCACCCCTCACTGGAATAAGTTGGATTCAGAAAAGGCAAATTATTTGCTGATGAAATTGAAACTCCACGCATCATTATCGAACAAAGCATAGAATGGTGGTAAAATCTCTACCTCAGTTTCAACTTTGAAAAAATCTTCAGAAGTGTTGACCGAGAAGTAATTTGAAAATTACTTCAACACTATGGCGTGCAGTGCCTAAATCTTTATCAACTCCATTCAACAGCTGCCTAGATGACAATGTCAAGTGTCAGGTAGTCCACAACGGGAAACTCAGCAAGGCGTTTGAAGTGAATACAGGAGTAAGAAAAGCTGGTTGCCTATTATCACCGATGATACTCTTAATTGTGGTGCACTGGATTATGCGTTAGACAGTGGGGAGCGAGGAGACAGGAATACGCTGGACCACCCATAAGAAGACTCTAGAAGATCTGGATTTTGCGGATGACTTATCCACTGTCACACAATCTGGAAGACTTGTAGGTGGGAACGAAGAAGAAGAAGCAAAGACAGGACTTAAAATGAATATAGGGGAAAAAGGCGGCAATCACCATCAATGGGAGAAACTTGAAACAGTTCACTTCCTTCACTTACCTAGGAAGCACAGTTTCAACCACAGGCAGTCGGAACGGAAGAAATTGTCGAAACTAGCCAGAATAAGGCAAGATGCATCTTCATCAATCTGAAATCGATTTGGAAGTCTTCTGCACTTAGCATAAACAGCAAGATTCGGATTTTTAACACCACTGTTAAGTCAGTTCTATATGGATCAGAAATTTGGCGCATCAGGAAAAGCATTTCGAACAGGTTGAGGACTTTTATCAATAGCTGCATTCGTTCCATATTGGAGATGAAATGTCCAGAAAGAATTAGCAACAAGAAACTATGAGAACAAACTAACCAAGAACCTATCGTTCGACAAATATGTAGGAGAAAATGGAGATGGAACGGGCACACGTTGAGGAAACCATCAAACGACATCGCGGACCAGGCCCTTGAGTGAAATCCGAATGGGAAACGACCAGTGGGTCTTCTTAGGGTGACATGGAAGAGGTCGTACGAGGAGCAGATGAGATATTATGAGCAATTGCGGGGTCAGTTGAAGAGGACAGCAGAAAATAGAACAAAGTGGAGATGTGTTGTTGTAGCCTTATGTTCCACTCAGAACCCAAGGGAACAATAAATAGTAATAAGGCTTCAACGTCATCTATCACAAAGCACATTATAAAATTGACTTCAACGGTGCCTTCAAATCCATACGTAAAACAGGTTTGAGTCATACACTTAAATTGGTTGAAGGTATAACCATTAAAAAGGTTTAAAGCTGTTTTATGTGTTCAAAAATAGTTTGTTATTACTTGGAAGTTACCTTGGTAATCCAATTTCAAAACTAAGGTTTATTTTTGATTGAACACTAGTCAGTAACTAGTGTAATGTGTCTAGTCCTATCTTCGGTGCAGACTGAATTCTATCAGTCATGTTTGCAATGTGGCCACCATGCTAGGTGGCTCGCCATTACGGTGCACTGTGAATTGTTGGTATTAGATGGTTGGATATCAGTCGCGAGCCTGAATAGCTCAGTGGTAACGTCTCTGACTGCAGCACTGGGTGATGAGGGTTCGAATCTCAGAAGGGACATCAGTTCCTTCAAGTTTGCAGATACGCCTTGCTGACGAGTGCCAACTAGCACGAAACCTAGGTCCAAGGCTTCCTGCCGACTGCCTCCAACCATCTAATACCAATAAGGTTTATTTTACTGAATAATATTTCCAGTCACTTTTTTTACCTCTTATCTGTAATTTTGATCCGTAAACGACCTTGACCTTTCATATTTTGTTACCTTTTATATAAATACGTATGAAAGTCACATGTGTTTGATCAGAATATCTGATATGTGTAGCTTAAATACACTACACGTTTCAGATAAATTACGTTTTCTTATTGTTTCGTGGAATATCTGTGCATTATTGTGACCATTTAAATATAAAGAAAAGATTACTGCACTTTTGATTTCCTTTTTTAATGATCAGTGGATTTCAGTTATGTAGAACAGATTTTTCATGTACCAGGGCCGTAGACTGTAATTTTATTGTTTGCCTATATTAAAGTGGATGAATTGAGGATTTGAAGTCTACAACTGGTTGAAACCGAAGTGCTTAAACGGGATCTATGCAAATAATCAAGCCAAGCCCTATGTCAGAAAACCCATTTATATGACATCTAATGGGTCTGTAGCTCAGCCTGAGAATGCAGCATCTGGCAACAACGCACTATCTAGAGTATGAACATTGCATATCTGACATTCTCATAACTCCCTTCAAGAAGGCTGATTTTATCCCGCTCTCCGAATGTCAGGCTTCAAAGTCCCTCGTAAAACACTGATCCATCTTAGCGGGTTAGGACAACTCTTGCAGGAGGCGTTGACTACAACTAATCCCTCGTAGAGTGGATATTCCTCAGGGGATCAGATTAAAGTAGGTAAACTGAGTTTCAAATCCTGAACCTACTGACTAGAAGTCACGCTGTTTAAACCAGTGTACCACACACTTCCATAAGTAATACCGAATCTTGAAAAAAAGGTACACTTTAATAATGATCATAAAAATTTGCATACCTGTTTTAAAAGTTGTATCTTTTCAGAATTATCATTAGTATCTGGAGAAGTAAGTCTCACTTTTAAGTCTCCTTCTTTCATTAATACACTAAATGCACATTTTGGAGGTGATGCTGATGAACTATTGCAACTAATATTATTATTATCATTATTTTTGGAAATCATTTGTTTAACACCTTCATGAGTATTAATCTGTTTCCATAGTTGTATACATAATTGTTGTATTGTTGACGGAATATCAAACTCCCAATTAGCCAATAGAACAGCTCTAGCATACATCCATGGGTAATTATAATCCGATGGTTTAAGTAGTTTGGATGACAGTCCAGAAGAAACAGGATCTCCACCAAGACTTAAAAATACAGACCATAAGTGGGTGTTAGATGACTGTGATGACATAGTAGTAGTACACCTCAGTTTATTATTTACATCGCCAGTTGACACGACAGAGTTTGAATGCTCTTTTTCTACTTCTTCAGATTGAACATATGCTCGAAGTGATTTAAACAAAATCCAGAATCGTGATTCCAAATTGCTGGCATCTAAAATAAATTTTTCGAAAAATTAGAGAGATAAAATCAAGAAAAAAGTGAACAGGGATCAATGGATTATTCTGAAGAATGTGCAAGATAGTAAAATCAATAGTGCTAACATATACTAGGAGGAAAACTGTGAAATCTGTCGTAGGCAGAAATAAAAAGTGGCATTTAAACCCACTTATAAGGAAATTATGTCAGCTAAAGGATCCGGTGAAGTGCGTCATGTTTATTAGGGTTCGGTGTGTAAATGAAAGCAATAGGAAAGGGTGAAAAACTTAGTTAAATCTGCACTAGAAGACTCTTATACGATAAGAAATGTAAAAAATCCCGGTTATAGCACTAATCCATGCTGCTGCATAATTGAGAATACATGTAGTAAGAATGATTCAACACCTGTCCTGGACATATGAAAAATTCGACTACTCATACGACAACTCGGAAAGAAGGAAAACTTTTAAACTGGAGTATCAAAGTTGTGTCGTTAAAATTAGTGATATAATTATGAAAAATAAACTGAGTTTCAGATTTTTTCATCCAGTAAATAATAATACTGTTTTACAGTCTGTGTGATATATTGGTAACATTTATTTCCCGATACGAATTTAAAACAAGCAATAAAGGTTAATAAAGCAGGATTTAATGAATTCATCAAATTTCGGTAGAACTCGTCAGCTGAATACTCTACATACACGGATATATACTTTTGAAGTTACATTGGGAGATATAGGACTGATAAGTAAATAAACTACATTGAATTAGTCATGCAGAAAGACAGGTGCGAATGTTTTTCCAGGTCATGTGCAATTAGATAAGGGGAGAGAGAGTATGAGAGATCAAAATTAAGATAAATTGCATTACGCTTCAATTACATCACTTAGATAAACAATTAGACATTAGAGAATTTAACAAGAATTGCAACCAGAGGGATGTCAATAGTAATAGTTATAATAACAATAATATAATATAACAATAATAATAATAGTGTTGAAGTGGGTTAAGATAATGCTACTGATAAAGGATAGTTTTAAATGAATCAAGAATAATAATAATGAGAATAATAATAGTAATAATAAAATAATAATAAGAGGTAGAATTATAAGTAAAACGTATTACCATGGTAGATTCAGAGTCACGACCATCTCCTTTTGTACACAGAGACCTGGTTTGTAAACTCGAATTGCACAAGCCTCTGCAATTGCAAGCATCTTCTTGTTTCTTTGTCTGCTGACAATGGTGAATGACTTGACTGCGTCGATATCATGCCCGTAATCCACAAGATGCTTTGTTATTGAGGATTTTGGCACTTTGAACTCAGCTGTTTTCAACCATTTTGGCAAATGCTCCATCATGCGAGTAGACAATCTCCTTTCCGTACGACCTATGTATTTGCTTCCACAAACACACTCAAATTGATATACGCAGTTTGAAGTGTCGAGGATTGGCGACTGGTCTTTCCCAGATTGTTGAAGCACTCGCTTAGTGGTGTTAAGGAAAACAAGTTTTGCAGCATAATAAGTTCTCTTGATGGCTTTGTCGAGTCTTCGTTTGACTACTTCCTGTACATCATCTCCTTTGAACGGCAAGTTGATATAGACAGGTTTCTTCGGAACTGTTTGGATTGTTTTGCAGCGGGTGTTTTCTTTAGAGTATTTATTAATGAACTTCTCAGGATATCCATTCTTAGATAAGATAAGTGTGATATATCTAAGTTGACCATTCAGCTAATGGGTTGGAATGCAGTGGCCTCTGAATTATAACTTCTATTGGTTCGCAAGGTATAGCGCTATATTCAATCAAGATCATTGGTGAGTATTTGCACTCATATCCAACTTGTAACTACTGTTTGAAATAAATTCAGCTTGGTCTGCTTGTAAAGCTCATATAAACGAATTCCGACACCGATAAGTAATAATAATAATATACTTTATTCCAAAAACAGTACTTGTGATACAGAATGGAATTTTCAGCATTGATCACAATATTGCATCTAATTTTGAGAGAAAGTGGAATAGGCAGTTACGGTTCCTCTGTGTGTGTGTGTGTTAACATGTAAGCGAATATAGATCTGGGTAATTAGAGGTAATTTAAGAAAATAAAAGATTTATTTTCAAGTATTGCTTTGTAGGGATTTTGTTTGATTAGTTGTAGGATTTCGTCACGATCTGACATCGGTTAGAGAACCAATGGAAAACCTGGGAGTACTGGGCATCTGTTTCATCCTAGTTCGGGACTCCTCACAATACGCACCCACTGGCGTTCATTTAAGCATAAATGAATGAATCAGATGGACTTCCTTGAAAAATTAAGGGGAGAGATATTATAAATATTCATATATCTCAGGTGTATGACATGATAGCGTGTTGAGGAGTTTATAGACACCACACAGGTCAGGGGAGCGAAAGCATCTGAACTTGTTTCTTTTGTATACTTAGTTCTAGTTATTTCAAGTGAACCTATTGTTAGAAGTATTCAGGCAATTTATTAGGTACATAACAGGCAATGGAAAAGGATTGGTTAGTACTAGCATTGTGGCATATGTGTAAATATAGCACTATTGATGCTTCTTATTACTATCGTAATTGTTCCTGATAATGACAGAGCAATAAGCGATGTAACTAGCTCCACAATAGTAGTTGAATTGATGAACTCAGGGAGGGAAAGAGATGGCTACGCTAGGTGCTTTTCTTCAGACTCCATAACACAACTAAACGTGCAGTAAATATGCATCACTCTCGCTATACATTAGATCGGAATCACAAAGGAAACAAATGCATTTTTACAAGTTCAATGCAAAAACCAAGTGTAAAAACACGCTTATCCCTTTTATCTCTTACCTGCTTCACACAGAAATCCATCCAAATAAATAATAACATTTGAAAAATTCGACTGTTTCCATCTACAGAATTTCTCACTGTCATAATGATGATCATTAAAATGATTTGTTGGCTTCAATTGTTGACAATGTTCAATTGTTTGTGTTTTACCAGAAATAGATGCCTGCATGAAAACATCGAATTCCAGCATATCTGAACCAATTTCATCTGGACCTAGTAACAGTGATGACGCTGAAGATGTTGATGACGAGTTGGAGGGTTGCTGAATTTCCTCTAGTCGATGGTGATATTGTTGCTCTTGTTGTCGTTGTTGATAAGTGGAAGGCGGAGGATTTGGATTCGGATGGTAATGAACATTTGGAGTTCTATCATGTGATAACCATAGAATATCATTACTACCTTTAATATAGGATGACTTAAGATTGGATAATACTTCGTACGGTTTAATCCAATCATCTGTTGAACTGCTAATACTTTGTACATCGGATAAATCACTGGAAATTGAATATCTTTCATTTATATTATTAGTTGGTGCATTACTGTACCAAACATCATCCTGTAAAGAAAGGTAAGACAAGTGTGTGTTTAATTAGGAATTAGCCAGTAGTAAAACCAGTAAAACATTTTATACTACTGACTACGATTGTTAGTAGGCTCATCTTACTCCTGAGAATACTTGTATGGGGTATGGGTAGACGAAGTTCAATTTCAAAGCAAAAATTGGGTTCCTAGCAGAATAATACTGATGACTTATGAATTGTTTATTTCTTGAGGGTAATCTGGTAAGAAAAAACGCCCTTCTTATCTGAATTTTTCAAAACAACTCCCAGCACCATAGACTGTTACGACACTGATAAAAATGGATAAACACCAAAGAAGACGTGTGAGCTATTCAAAAATATATACATGAGTAATTGTGACTAGTAAAGAGAAAGAAGTGAATTATGATACATAATCAATAAAGAGAAACCATAATAGAATGATTTTATTTTCTGCAGCAGCTGCTTTGGGCCACTTCAGTGTATTTATAAATTTACTTGCTTCCGTACAGTTGTTTATATTCACCACACAAGGTGCACACATCGACCAGTAGTACTTGCTAGCCAGATTGAAATGATTCGTCTATCTCAGGTGAATGAAACCGGGTAGGCAACTGACGACCTCAGCTGCAAACGAGAGGAAGGTCTTCCGGTGTTTAGAGTAATTTGATGTCGCTAGCAAGCACTACTTGGTTGGTGTGATTCCTATCCGACTGCTTATATCAGTCAATCAGTGATGCATGTCACCATGCATTTACATTCACTCTTCTGATTGCCATTATTAGTGTCAAGCAGATCATATATCATGATATGTATTTTTTTTGTTTCCGAAGGAAACTATGCTGAAATTTTCCCCCGAATTGTGTAATTTGTAAATTGTGAATTAGGCATTCATGTAATTAAGTTCTTGTTTTTTTCCTTCACGTTCCCAGTGGAACATAGGGCTTCAAGCTTGTGGCTTGAAGTTTCTGTAGCAGTGTTTATTTTTACAGGATGGGATTGCTAGCCTCATGCCCAACCTTTCCTCTTCACCAGCATTATTTCTGGCTGAGCAAGGTAAAGGAGTGCGTCCAGTGGCCGGGGATCGAACCCCGGACCATGTGCATGGTCGGCGAGCGTCCTAACCGCTATGCCACAGACGCAATCAAGTTCTTACCATGTTTTTATTATGTCTTTCAATTCATAGGGATTGTTATGCGCATTCATAAAAAACAAATGTGCAGTATGCATATTACCACTCATCCACGTATGTTTTTTGATAGCTTGATTAACATTCAAATTTAGAACAACACATTTAAGCGAACAATATTGTTTTCAATTAGATCTCATCAGACTTAACTCTAATATACATAAGTTTACAAATAGAAATTCAAATATAAACCAATCATGGTGTTTTGTCTATAGGATATAAAGATGGTGAATATAAATTGTGCAATTTGTCATAATAGTAGTAATGATAATAATAACAGTAACAGAAATGGTCTTATCAATAATAACGATGAAAAAGTGAGGCAATCTGTGATAACACGAATACTGATGAAAAACAGCATGATTAAACAAACAAATGTTCAGGTGAAATTAGTCAATAAAGGCTAGTAAAACAAATGAACCGATTAAGTAATGTTAAATTGTAAGGGAAGTAAATGAAACACGTTTATAATGAAGATGTGATAAGATTAAGGGATGATAAGAAAGGGGTTAAAAATATAAACAAGGGGTGGTGTAGAAGTCATTAGTTGGTTATGTCTTAATACGCCAAGGGAGGGATAATGGCTGTACGAACTTCTTTGGAATGCATAGTTTAGGTTTAATAGTTCGAATACCTATCGCTTCAGCTGTGTGCAGTAGACGAATACGAAGTCTATTGGAAAGATTCGATGGGATAGCATTCAAATTTCTAATCTCTTAGTTGGAATTCGTCTTTGTAGATGAAATCAGTCATATGAGCCATAGAAATCCAAATAATTCTATGCTACAGTAGCTAATATTCACAGATTTTGTTTTATCATGAATCAAAAACAGTAATGGAACCACGGAGAAAATAATGAGACAATGGGTAACTGTTTTGTTCTAGTTTGAGCATCTTTGGTCCCATGAGGAGTAAATCTCATTACTTTCATGTTAATCAGGGATCAAAATTAGTATTTTAAGGTTATGAGATGACAGTGCTACTGTTCATTCACTGAATTCGGATTTAATAACTCGTGAATCCTCAATAGCGTAAATTCTCGATAAAACGACACTGCTCACCAATGTTATCAGCGGGGTATGTGTTCTCACACTACCAATCACCATTTCTCATTCAAAATCTAAAGAAGTCTGCTTCATAGACAGTCACTAGTGAAAAAGTAAGTTGATTATGAAATGTTAGGTTTGCACAGATCTATTCAATCTCCAGGTGAATTTCGTCACAAATCGACAGAAACTACAGTTCACGTGCTATTGGGTCATTTTCTGGCGGTCGAATAGTGACACACTGACCCCATAAACCGAAGATTCAGGGGTCTGATTACTGGAAGAGTCATCGGCACGTACTGCTAAAGAGTCAGCTCGTTTATGATGAGACAGCTGTCTAGTATCTCCTACTTTTCAATGGTTGTTTAATTGATTATTCAACGAAGTCTACCTCGGAAACACCCCTTAAACTCAACACTTACAGATTATCATGTTTACTAACTGTTTAAGACTAACTAGAAATAAACAATAACAGAAGTACAGAATTAGTGAATAGATTTCAAGCCTAAACTAGTAAATCAATAAAGCATAACTTACCACAACAGGATTAAGCATAAAAAGATTTTGTTCAGAGAATTGTTTAATTGGTTTATTATTATTACTCTTGTTGTTAGAGTGATTAGTATTCATAATGTTATTTCCATCAATTAATTTTACATGATCAGATAAATCGAATGAAGCAATATTATAGCCTTTCTGTTTATTATTACTGTTATCCAGTGTTGAATGAGTTGACTGATTTCGAAGTTGTATCAACGGTGGATTACATAATGACTTGTTATTACTTTTACTATTGTCAGTTATTGTATTAACAGTAACAGATTCAGCAGGACAATTAACCCTGTCATCATTATTTATCAAAGTAGTCTCTGGTCTATCTTCTGATGATTTTATACGTCCACGCATTGAAAGTCGAAGAAGTGTTCTGTTTAACATGTTTAATTTATCATTTGACGTCAGTGGTGAATTAACAGTTTCATTTTTTGTTGATATGGAATCTACTGAAGATGTACACACAGAATTATGATGACCAAGTGATGATGGAGGTCTTGACGACTGCAACGGATGTGACTGGGTAGGAAGAGTTGTTGCAGTAGTGTTAGCAATAGCAGTAGAAGAAGCAGTATGTTTTGAAGATGATGTTTTATATGGAAAGAAATGTACACCTGAAGATAACATATTCGAAGGTGTATTCGGTAGACTGTTATCCTCACTTGTACAGACAGAATCGCTTTTTAAATTATTAGGCAGTAATATTGAATTACTTATTTTGTTATCTTGTTTATTGTTACAGTATATATTCATACTCATTTCAATTGATCGTAGAGTAGAAAAACTAAGAGTATAAAACAGTTGACTACAGCGACCATCACTATTTTCATTTTTTTTAGTGGTGTCTTTGAGATCAGTAGAAGTTCCACACTCTGTCATATCTGCAAACTCTTGATAATCAAGGCATAAATGAGTTCGTAAATAAGAAATCTGATTATATATACAATATAAAAAAAGCATATGATCTAGTGCATCAGGTAATTTGAAAAGTTTATCACAAACAGATGAAGTTTCTAAGAGCCATGATAATAGGCCACGATTTGCTGATAATTGGTCAATTGAACCTAAGGAAAATTTAATTGGACACTGACCACTGTTATCGCTGATATTTTCATTTCTGTTAGATGACGATAACGCCGACGACAATGATGACTGAGAATCCATAGGAATCAATTTATTATCAATATCAATTAATAGAGAAATAGGGGAATGAGAGTTCATTGTTTCACCATTAAGGGTTGTTGTTGTTCCAGACAAAGGCATTTTAATCGGTAATAATGTCCATACAGTTAAAGGGAAGGATTCAATTAATGTTTGACGATATATTGTATATTCATTCATTTGATTACCAGTAGTATTATCATGACTATTACTACCATTATTGACATCAGCAGCAATGAAATCTGAATTGACAACATCATGAGATGGACAGCTCATATTAACTACAGTGAGAAATTCAACCCATACATTTGGACAATGAAGACACCAAAACTGTTCTTCAAAATTCTATAATACAGAATAAATATTATAAATGAATATCAATAAAAGTAACAAAAGCTATAGGCGCTTTTGACACATCAACTTGTATGAATAATGTGACGAAGGATTAATCATAACTTGAACAGCTCAATTGTAAATTATCTGAATCTAACAATGAGACACACCAAGTCGAGCTCGAAGAGCTGCAAACAGAAATAATTAAAGAGGGATGATATGTACACTGTGACCATTGATTTACACTTTAAGTTATATTTCATAATTTCTTAAACCACTGAATCATATAGTGGAAAATAACTAACTCAATGAGTTGTGACTCAACTAATATTGATCTTACGCCGGTAATTTATGACTTGACAACTTCTGGGCTTCTTCAACTGACCACATGACTTCTCAGCATCATTTTCCAGTCTCATTATATTATCAGCAGAGTTTTCCCTTAGACTAATCATTTTGAGTATGATCACACATCCATTCAGAATAAGAATTCGTTCAGGACTAATTAAAGGTGTGTTCAGAAAAATGAAAATAAGTCTGATGTCAAGAAACTGTACACAATAATTTTGATTTATAGTTAGAACAATGAAATCGAAGGCAACTATTTGACTGAGTTTCTCAGGTTATGAAAGTGCTGACATCCTCCTTACTAGAATTTAAACTCAGCATCGGATTAGGCTACTAGGCATAACAGGGAACAGAAACTCAACCTGACAACTGTTGGTAAGAGTTTATTGGCTGCCTAATAGCCTGTTGAATTACTCAACGCTTGGTTATTTGCCATCTGCTGAATATTCTATATTTAACTTATCTACATTATATTTTTGTAAAATAGTTTTTCGTGAGCAGTGATCACTCGACCACCCGGTCAACTAGTGTTATCAATAGGTCACTGAGTATTAGTCCAGTTTAGTCTTATCGGTAGTGAGATATTGATGGTATACACCATGAAGGGCCTCACTTGCAACTATAAATGAGCAATCAAAGTGCTCCGATGTTGTGTACGTTGTCAGAAAAGGGCTGTATATCTTGACAACAGCCGAAAAGTACTACATGAAAGTAAATAGATATGTTTATGCCAAAATAAACATTCTATCAGTAAGGAAGGGAAGCATGAAACTGGAACACCCTAGAAAGAATGAAACATGAGAAACTGTTAAAGACCTATACGACTTTCAGACAATTTGTTTATGCAATCCAAGACCTTATTGATTGATTCTATTCCCACAATGTGATATCCACATGGATAATTGGATCCTCTTTTCTATCAATCATTTGTTCTGGACAGAACAAATGCTCCCATACAGCAGAGCATAACCAATCCATGAGTGATATCTACCGATCTACAGCAAACAGAGTGTAGAACCCAAAGTTCGTAACTAGTTTCAATGAGAAGAGTCATTTCTATTCATAGATATCAAGTCGTTTGAACTATTATCAACAAGTTAAATACTGTTCAGAATTCAAACCTATATGCATCTTATTCTATTTAGAAAAACTGCATAGGGGGTTTTGAAGCTAAAAGTGATGCGTATTGAATTAAATTCTAGTGAGCACAAGAAAACAGTAAAATTTAAGTATACCTAACTAATGAGGTTTCGTCCAAATAAAACCGACATCTTCTAATCTATTGTTTAAAAGCATGAAAAAGATCTAACAATAGGCAATAATGAGTTGTCCACTTCAGAAGCCTACCCAACAAGCCCACAACGCAGGAAGTCAAAAAACATGTGCCTATAATCTAACATGGTCATGTAATCAATATAGATGGGGTTTAAAAAACAGTGAAGTCTATTGCAGGAATGAAGCACACGAAACACAATGACACTTCTAGTGATTAAGATTCATTAAGATTACTCATGATAAAGGTTGAATGTAAGAGCAAATACACACATACTTAACACCAGTATGACCGATGTACAGAATTAGTTAGATCAGATGTTCTTAAAATACAATATATGACCTAATAAACTGTATCGACAAAGCATATATAAGTTCTGTACAGAGTGAGTAGTTGACTAATACTTATATCAGCCACTAGTGCATATATATATATATATATATATTCCTTTACGTTCCAAGTGGATAATAGGGCTTCAAGTTTCATGTCTAAAGTTTCGGTATCAGTGATTTTATTCTTACGGGGTAGGCTTGCTAGCCTCACAACCAACTTTCCCTCCTTACCGGCCTCAGCGAAATTTAGGAGTGCGTCGGCCAAGGATCAAAGGCCGGACAACACATGAGGCGTGGTTGGCAAGCGTTCTACCGCTGAACCGCAGATGCAAGTTAACACCCAGTCGTTACAAAAGTTGTCGGAATATACATTTACATCATTCGCATATGTTCACTTCATGTTGAGGCTCACGCTAATTCAAGCAAGCCACTGTATATTCAGAAGGAAAACGAAAGCTTCGCAATGAAATCACCGAGGTCAAAGAACGCAACCATATAACGTTGATATGATTCATGGTTTCAAACAGGACATTTACCATGATCCGAGTAATAAATAATAAAATAATAATAATAAACCACAATAAAATTTCACGTGTCATGTTTACTTGAAAATGTTTGGTTATCAGGTACCCCTACCTGATATATATCCACACCGTCTATTTCAAAGAGAAGTTTCGCCATAACAACCTATTTCACCAATAAGTAAAAAAGGGTTTTCTATTCAAAGAAGAAACATTTCTTTTCAATGACTTCATTTTTAAAATGAACAGTTGTATTTATAATACGGGAAAGGACATCAGGGACTACTAAAAATTGACCAGTCAATATACTTGTGATATTATTATTATTATTGTATCCTTTAATTCCTAGAGGAACATAGGGCTTCAGCCGTGCGTCTCCATTGAGTTCGGTTCTCTGCTAGAGCCAACTTGTGATAAAAATAAAAATAATTTACTAAAAGTTGTTGTGTATTAAACGTTCTTCTTATGTCACGTACATCTGGCGTCCTCAAGCCGACTTATATGATCCAATGATGTATTGATCAGCTACCACTTACGCCCATCTCTTTCACATGTTAACATGAAGCAGATCTTATTGGTCATAGTTAGCATGTTCTCCAGAAATGTGTAGCCGAACACTACTCAATTTGGTTGATGGAAGGTGAAAATAGGATAGTGAAGTATTTTATCTGTAAACACCTTCTTGGGTCAGATTACTCAGTAACAAGCAACTTATCCTTTAAAGTCACCGGAAAAAGTTTAGATCTTCACTGCTTATGTACAGCTGAACACTTAAACTAACTCTTTAAAAAACAACTCGTTAAACCTGTTTCTTTACCTTAGTCATAATAATGTTCTTTCTTTATTTTTTCCACTCCACTTCATCTTCGCCTTCATTAATGTGTTATCATCTTCGCAAATTTAATTTTTGTGACAACGCTTGGTGGCCTACTTTAAGACTTTTAATGATACTTTAAAATTTTATAATTCATCCACTTCAACTCTACCTCCTGAAAAATCATGTTAAGTATTTTTATTCTGTAACCTTATCATATGTACACTGACAGCAATTTTTAGTGATATTTAACGCCTTTTACTGTGCAACTTGAAAACGAAGTCACTGAAAAGAAATATACATATCTTTGCTTAACAAAACTGTATTTTTTTCCTTACTAATTAATATATGACTGTAGGATATAGTTATTACGTCATCTCTAAGAGTAGAATAAGAGTATCCCACTCATATTATAACAGCTGACGAATACGTGATTGGATTTAGTCATTGGAAAGGCATACTTATCTTGAATTCAACACACAGATTATTCAATCTTCAAAAACTATGGATGAGTGAAATTCTTAGATGATGTTTTCGTTTTCTCCACCCCTAGAATTTCACGAAATGATGACAATCCGATAGAGAGTTAAACCCGCAAATACAAGAACACCTTTAAAAGTGATTTCCTTCACCAATCGACATCAATTAGAGAATCATGAAAAAAAAACAGGGAGCATTGTGCACCTTGTTTAGTGCTAGTTGATGAATCTTCAACAGTGCTCACCCACAATGCCACAAGAGCTTCAGGTTACGAAATGTAAGATCAGAGTTGAACAGACCACATATTGTGGTTCCTGTCAATGAGTAGTATGCCACAATCTTCCGCAGTGATCGTCCATAGTGTGATCATGGGTGTATATAACTGAAGACTATCACAAACTAGGACGAAACATCTGTCCATTGTCACTGGATTTACAATGGTTCTTCAACTGATGTTAACGAAATCCATCAAATCTTCAGAAACCTAACACTTGAAAATACACACATAGTTTCCCTAGGAAAAAAAGATACATATGAATAACATAAATCAATTGAAGAAAAACCTACAGGATATAAATAACCAGATTCTGTAGCTGATTGAATAAGTTTATAAAATTTACTCCAATCTGGTGGTTTATGAAGAGCAGATTGTGAACTGAATGGATTGTCTGTGAAGTCAGCAGTTGCAATAAATTGGCTTGAATTCATTTGTAAATGATCAACTAATCTTTGTAGACAATTAGCCACGTGTAAAGATATAGGAGCTGCCAATGATTGGACAATTACTTGATCCGCCTGCAATACAAATTTTATATATGTACACAGTTAAGTAATGAATAATATTCTTTAGTTAAAGACAAGATGAGCCTTTGAATATTGACAGAATTAGGGTAAGTGAAAGAAAGAAATGAGGATTTTCCAGAGAAAGAAGCAACTTTCAAAGCCCATTCGATATCTGTTTACGTTCACTTAGACAAATAAGAATTTGTTGAGTTTTATATGAACTAAACACTTTATAACTAAAACTGATCACACTAAGATAATTTGGTACACTTAACACTTGAGGCTGACACATTTTCTAACACAGAGTGAGGTGACATCATAGTTAGCTCTCTGATGGTCTAAGAGAAACACCTTAATGCAGTCACACTAATTCCAATGGCAGTATACGATAGTGTAAGCTAGTTACATCATGACGGTAAATCATCATCTCAATCAAACTTGTATTGCTACTACTTAGAGGAACAATCGCTTGCATTTGTTTCTCGTTCAGTCAGATGTCCAAAGCTTGAAATCGCATAAAGGTAGTAGCTGTCATTAAGGATTTGTGTAAGGAACAAAGAATACAGATGATCGTCTTAAAGGGTTACCCCTTCTGATCTAAACCAACGACGACTAAATAAGCGTCACGGGTTAAATACTACTAAGCGCAGTTTCCATACTGTTTGTTAGTTTTAGATTATGAAAACAGTGTGAATCATTGCATTTCAGTAAGAGATTCTCAACTTTTACAAATCTACTTACTTCCAACGATTCAATGATAAGCGTTAATGATAATAACTTTAAACATTGTGGAGTCATTCGTTGTGTAAAACCAGAAAATAAGAATTGCCATAGTAAAGGCTATAAACACAGGACTACATGAGTATATACCGAGGATTCACTATTGATCATATTGAGGTATTTACGTGAAGTAAAACCACACGGCATCATGAACTATAGTGGCGTTTGTTGCTGACAATATTTACAAGTAGTATATACATGCAGATATAGATACGTATATCAAATATCGAATGGTAGAGATGGATTTAATGAACGATGGTTGTGAAACAACATGGAAAACATGAAAGGAAGACAAAGCACAATACTGAAGATACGTGCAAATTATGATTCTAATATATGGTAGACGTATTTTGCCTATATCTCTGTGTCGAGTTGTAAATAAACAATTCCGTTATCAAACTCTTTTGTCTTCTGTCGTTACAGTATTAGCCGTCCTCAAATGAGGTTGGTCTACATTCATATGCAACAACGCGTACACCGCATTCTGGATAACTTGTTTAATTAGCTTTAATAGTAACCTCGACAACAAACCTTCAATCCAATGCTTCAATAGTAAAAGATCCATTAAGAAATACATTTGATGGCATATATCAACAAAAAGGAGCTTTAGGAATAAACCGTACATGAGATTTCTCCGCTACTGTTGCTACGACACAGTTATCCAGAACAAAATTTTTGATTCACCAGGACTATGAGTACCAGGACTATGAGTAACACTTATTGTGCAAGGGTTGGTGATGCTGCCCAGTTATCCAGGTTTAATAAAGTAGGAGCGTCAGCTATTCAAACCCAGGATTAACTAGCTGAAATCCGAGTGCTTAAGTTAACCAGCAACATCTAGGCTACTATTTTTCTAAAATTAGAGAAAAGTTTTCATAACTCCAACTTCAGATATTCATTAAACTGGAGTAATAACTAGTAAACAGTAAAAAATATTTGCGTCTAAATGAAGTGATTGACACTTAAATAGAAATGACAGCACTACCACTACTCCACAAGTTAATATAACTCTTTCAAGTAAAGAAAACTGGACAGAGATTATCCCTGTTTTTCAGATGTTCTAGTGGTTTTCTTGCAGCAGATGGGGTTGGCTAGCAAGTGCGCGGAATTCTACCATTTAAAACTTAGTAAGAACAAGTAATAACTTGTCCCATAAATCTGGATTTGGACTAGAACAACAAACAACAAAGGTCACGCAATTAAAGCAGGCAGCTCGAAAAACACAACCACATCAAAAAATACTACCTAGCTGCCTAATCTTAGTAGGAGGAGTTGAGGCTCGAACTCACGGTCCAGTGGTTGGAAGTGACAGCACGAACACAGCTTACAAGACAGCAATGCATATCAAAAATATAGTAGTAACTTACTCACCTGTAAAACAAGAGCATGTGGTCCACTCCAACCTGATGTACTTAGACTTTGGTTTAACTGTCCAATTACCGAGAATATTAACTGTATTGGACAAAAATTCAAATAGATAAACACGATCCTTTAGAAAATAAAATAAATTAAGCTATACCATCCACTGAAAACAAAGGTTATTTAACCAATGTTAAAACTCTAATATTTGATTGTAAATTACGCACTCATCAGATTCACCTGATTGAATGAAGTAACCTTGAATCAGTAACACATTTTGACTTTTCAAGTGTTACTTTGAAGGAATTCGAGTGAGTCAATTTTGATCATGACCTAGACGGCTGATTCGCCCAAGTTTGACATTCTACAGAAGTACGCGACCATGACTTGAAAATCGATACTGACAGATTTCCATTGGCTGCTAACCTCCTTCCATTATGGGTAAAATTTATTTTGATAAAGTCTCACAGTGTTATACAGCAATATTTACTGATAACTTTTCGAGCACAATTTATTGCTAATAATCACATTAAGTTACTCACACAACTTTTTCCTTCATAATGGAGTTACACTCTACCACAGTGCCCAAGTTTTATACTTATGATTTCACCATTATTTTTTACTTTGCTTTTGACCTTTACTGATCTTCCTAATCAATTTTATAGGATAGTTAGTTATTAAACACCAACGCTTCTCCCCTCTGTTTCACTTCATCATTTAGGTTTTTTGTTGTACTACTAAGTGCTACTGCTCGGTTTATTAGACACTTAACTAAGCCTGCCTTAACTTAGGTGAATATAATTCAGTTACAATTTGGATGATACATATTTTAATTGACATCCGTTTTTTTAAGTTGTCAGTTCATTGAACTATGTGATTTGTGCTTACTAGGTGAATATAATTCAACCACTATTTACTAGGTCACGACAGTGGTATTTAAGCACTGAAGTATGTACTATTATTCATCTGCTTAAAATCATTTTGTTTTGTTCATTAAGCATTGTTAAAACCATTACATGATGTTACAAAATACTCCTACTGCTTCTACTTCACGAAATGTGTCATCTTTGTTGTCCGATGTAAGGGGTATATGCCTTTTTGTGTATTCTATACGTTGATGAATTTGTGAAGGTAATAACTAACTTATAATAAAGGTTTTTGTATTTCCGAATGAATGAAAAACAAAACGATATTGTTTTTTACTGACGTTTCGCTATTTAATGCTAATAGCTTTATCAAAGTATTATTTAACCGGAATTTACAATATCTCAGCATATATATAACAAGCAGTTAGGGGGTGAGAAAATAGACTTAGGTCAAGTTAAAGGGACATATTGAAAGTAAAAATAGCAATGAAGATCACTAAACCAAATAACAAAGGTAATAGTGCGTCTGTTATGATATCAAAATAAAGTTTACTAACTTGATCATCGTTCGTATGTCTGGGGGCATTTTTAGTTGTTGGTTTAGTGATCTTCACTGCTATTTTTACTTTCAATATGTCCCTTTAACTTGACCTAAGTCTATTTTCTCACCCCCTAACTGCTTGTTATATATATGCTGAGATATTGTAAATTCCGGCTAAATAATACTTTGATAAAGCTATTAGCATTAAATAGCGAAACGTCAGTAAAAGCAATATCGTTTTGTTTTTCATTTATTGGGAAATACAAAAACCCTTATTAAAATGAATATCATATACCCAATGCCTAAACTTTTTCAAACCGTTAAAAGTGAACTTGGTTTGGACATATATTACTTAATAACTAACTTTTTCATTACTTTTTGAAAGGAAGCAAACAAATCCAACCGGGTTAATGTCATTAAAAAGTTTGAGCATTGTGGAATAGATCAAATAAAGTATAATTATCTTTTAATGGTTTACACACAATGATAAGCTTTGTTATTGGTAATATTCCGAGCAAAATTACTGCCCGTGTTCACACCAATTATTGGAATTGTTTGATTTTTAATTCACATATTTATGATTTGTACTCATTCATCTTTGTGCATTTAGAACTATATTCCAGTTTGTTGACAGTTGTGCTGAGTCACCCTCGTTACATGTATCCGGTGTGAATGAATATAGATTCTGTTATAAGTCTCTCTTTCCATTTGTTCATATTAGTTTCTAGAAAGCGTCGTTTTTATGCTACCATCTGTTACTCTTTGTATTTTGCAGTCTAACATAGGCAATTCCCCAATTTCACTCTCTACTTCTATAGTGAATTTTATTGTCGATATGATTGTTTATGTGCGAGAGGAATTTCTCAACATCGTTTTTTTCATTATTACTAACGTGCCATCTACATATTTCCACCAAAATTTTATTGATGACCTGAATGGTTTAAGTGCATTCTCTTCCCAAAAATCCTACCGGATTGCTTTAAGTCGTAAAAAGACACATCCGGCTCTATGACATATGAGTATGTGAAGTATCGATGCACTTTTGGAGATAATCGTGCTCCTAGACGTGCTGGTCTGAGGAACAAAGGGTAAGTTGGCTATGCACATGAATTTTAAAACTTTTTAGGTACAAAAGTATTTTATGTCAGTTGACATTTATAGTACGGTATACAGATGAAGGATACAAGATAACAAAATACCAAACTGTGCATAGCCATCCATGCACGGAAAGTTTCATGTCCACCGATGTATCCAGACATCGGCTGTCATCAGAGGAAATGACAGTTGTGCAACGGTTTATTGAAAGGAACACTGATTTCCATGAAATAATGGATTTAGCACAGGAGAAACTCAGCAAAGTTATCCTATATGATGATATTAAGAATATGAGTGCTGGAATAAATAAATCTAAGTCTTATCAAAATAAATGTGACAGTAGAATAGAAATCAGTACTTTACAAGACCTGCTTCATCAATTGAGGCAGACAGGTTCAGTTGGTGTTCTGCATGATAATGCAGGTTTCATCTCAAAAATCATTTTCACTCATAATGATATGATCGACCTCTATCATAAGTTTTCAGAAGTAGTTGGAATTGACTGTACTTACAAAACGAATAAAATCGGGTAATTGGCAGTACAAGAATTAATATCAGTTTGTTGTGACTGATGGATTTGGAAGCAGAAGGACTGTTCTGAGCTACTTCTGAAAATGCCTAGAAGAAGAACAGGGTGCTGAATTAGTGCCAGTCATGCTGAAAACCAGCACACAGTTCCAGTTTGTGCGCATAATCAAACAACTTCGGGACAATGTCAAGATTTACTCAGTATAGAAAGTCAGAGTTAGTTCAGAATTTGCAGGATTTACTTCAGCATTATTGTATGCTTGGAGAGTTAACTTGACTGCAATTAAATTTCATTTTGTGCTATGAACAGTTTACTATATTAGCCTAGTATACGCGAATTAGTTCAATGATTGCAGGTTTACTATAATCGTTCACTATCAACTTAATAACTGTGAACTTAAAACTAAAAATAAGCTTTATAGTGGCACCCAGTGACAGAAATTGACCTCGACACGTTAAAATATGCAAAACGTCAGAAAAAACCCATTAAATTTCAATGGAAAACGAATTCACGAAACATATAGCTAATCGACGCGAGAACCTACCATGACCTTGAATCTGGATATACCTTCTTCCAATAGTTATCAGGAGGTCAAAGCAAATCAATTCTAGTTCAATTCTCGACTATCTAGTGAATTCGTGTCACACAGCTCAACTGGAGTTCTTTCTTAAAATTGTCTTTAAGTGTTGGACCACGAAAAAGGTAGCAGGTTCCCACACTTGTGTATGACGAAAGCGCTGGAGATTCGTTAGTACAGAAAAGATTCGGTCAACCTTTTATTCTCCCAAGGTTTTAAACTCCTTCCTACTTGTTGGCTTGTATTTTTAGTAAGTAATTTACTAGTATCACTATTACATGGTCATAATGGACATTGTACTAATCAGTCCTGTTTTGTTCTTCACACTTGTTCAATGGAATCTCACCTTATCGAATTTCAAACCCTTACTTCACATTGTGTCGCTGATTATTGTGTGATTTATTCCAATCTCCAGATACCACTTCTGAGTAACTGTATCAACTTTGTAAGTGTTGGAGGCGTGACATTAATATACGGATCAGTCAACTCTTGTATAGTGGAAAAGTTGAAAATGACTAGACGCCAACCGTAGTATACAGTCCATCATTCAAGTCGATTTCTTAATTGTAAATGGGACGCTGATAAAAAAAGAACTCAAATACAAGTTTGTTAGCCTCACAACCCTGAGATAAGAAAATTATATGGTAAAAAGTTAAGGATCAAATCTCCTTTCATCTTCATGTTTTCAATTTTTGGTGTTAGGGGCCTTTTTCATCCTGACAGTTGATTTACCTGTCTGTCTTCATTGCAAGTACAAGTATATACATAAGATTTTCTCATTAGCAGCACAATATTTTGTACACATTCTGCAGATTTATGAGGAAAGAGGTTTGTCCATAGGAAACCTGCATGGAATGGTCAACTAATAGGTTCCTGCAGCTGAATACCAAATTGTGTCTGAGGTATTCGAACTCTAGAAGAATTAAACCTTCTGAAAGAAATCTTCGTCCAAAATGCATGTCCACTAATCTTTGTTGACAGTGAACACCAAAACGAAAATTCAAGAACATGAGAAACTGTTCGCGTTAAAACTGGGGCTCTACATAAGTCTTGATTTTAAGGGTGATCTAACCTGTGATATCCTTAAGAGGAGAATTTCAACATTTTCAGGAAAAGAATTTTAGCACCAATGTTAAGTGTGGTGTTTGCCTGTCTTCCACTGGCTAGCAGATGTCTGAAAGAAAAGATCTCGTGTCTGACCACTTCTATGTGCTGATATCATTTTACCTGCTCCTATGGAGCCAGGTATATTGGTCATTCGATGCATTTGCTGTAAAGAAGACAATCCCACATGGTTGAAAAAAGGCAGCAGTGGCTCTATTAGGAGTGCCATAGATGAAAACTTCAGAATTGGTCACTTAATCTCAATGAAGTCATCCTTCAAAGTCATCTACACAGCAGAGAGCAAGCCGAAGACAAAACACATTAGCGTCCTGTGACATGGTGGAGCTCTAGCTATCCAGACAGAGAAATAGGAAAAGAAAATTCTGCAGCCGCTTCTACGACTATGGTAATGACCTTAATATTTAAAGCAACTTTTTTCACCTTTATCTAACCAATGCACTCTTTTGAATTATTAAATAATATCACATTTCCTTTGTTTCTATGCACACCATGATTACAACCCATTAAATAATGCATCTCATATTACGCAATTCCATCACCCTTGTTCAATGTCTCTTACGTATTGATTAATATTAGAAACCTTACTCACGATATTTCATTTATTTAGTTACACTCGTCTCTTATAGGGAACAATTGCATGTGACTGTACCGCCAAAGAAAATGAAATCGCCAAAAAGAGCCACTTCACTGAACCACTTATCATGTTTTTCCAGTAATAAATGCTTGAATGAAGATTATTCATAAACTAACAAAAAATAAGAGTAAACCATGCAAAAGAATAAATTTCTTATTGAAATATAAAAGTCACCCACCCACACACACATACATACACTAACTTACTCGAGGCATAAGAGCTTCAAAGCGTATATGATACCGGTTTAGGTCGAACATTTTATTCTGTTGTTTTGTAGTGTTTCTATCTCTGCTACTACTACTAGATAGGAAAGTAGACTAGATAGGTAAGGATGAAAAAGAAAGGAAAAAGGATAAAAATGTCAATATTAGTATTGAACAAGAGAAATTGGAGCGAACAACTGTTTTAAATAAGACTCTACAATTATTAATCAAAAAATTTAGTCTGGTGTATATTCACACCTAGGCATGTACCAGTAAGGCAAGTAGTTGCAAAAATGGCGCAGTTTTATCCCAGATGGTGGAGAGTGGATGGCAAATTAGGGCCAGACCAAGCGTTTTCGGTGATCAACCGAGAACTAGTACGTCTCCTATAAGTAACTGAAGACGTAACAATCGCTATCAGAAGACCTGACCTTTGTATCCAAAAGAAGTAAATTCAGTCACTTTGTTTACCTTGACCTGCAATAAAGTCAACAAATTCCCAATAAATAATGATAATTAAAGATATGGATCCCCATCCCATTCTTTTCTTTACTCACCCTGTTTCACTGAAAAACTTCTATTGCAGATTTAATAACGTTTGGTAACGTCTATTGGTTTACGTGATACCTCTCACAAAATCTTTTTCTTTACACTTTATAGAAATTCTTGATAACCGCTCACACTAGTAGTACTTCTGTGTTACAACATACCATGATTATGGCTATCATCGTTACTATCTCTTGAATTAAATCTAGTGTCCAACTTGTTTGTTTATTTCTCCGTAGTATTCATATAGTCTGTCACATTACCCCCAGAAGTCCGAACTTTTGTCGATTATAAATAACACAAACAGGCCCTTCATTTATTTACTCTCATTTTATCGCATATTCGTATTAACGACACTTTATATATGCATTTAAACGATAATCAAAAAACTACCTGAGTATTCATTTTATTCTATCTTGCATATGTACCACAATGGTATTTCTGATATAATATTGATTTGCTTTCATTGGCTATTGTATGCTAATATTAATTGACTTATTAATTGTGGAGCCTGAAGAAGAATTTGAAAATATTTATTCACCCTAATTACTCTTATTCTCTCTGAAAAAACAGCAGAGATATTCAGTTTAATTAGCTTAGTGCTAAACACTATCCATTTCGTTTCGTATTTCCGTCGCTTCGATAAAATTATAATTAAGGTTTCAACAGCACGTTTTCATCCTGTCCTGTTCTCTGCACTCCTTTTTAACTGGTTCTAATATTGTGCATAAACATTCATTTCCTTCTTCTCCTCACACGATCGCCTCCATGTCATTCCCGGACACCCTACTCGTCGTTTCCCATTCAGGTACCACTTAGGGGTCTGGCACTTGATGTCGCTCAACGGTCCCCTCAGTGTGCGTCTAGTCCATATTCACTTCTTTCTGCATATTTGTTGATCAAGAGGTTCTTGACTGACTCGTTGCCAGAGTTTCTTGTTGGTGATCCTTTCTGACTGATTAACAGTATGGAGCGAAGACAACTGTCAATATATGACCGCGGCTTATTGGAAATGCTTCTCATAACGCACCAAGTCTCTGAATCATAAAGAAGCACTGACTTGACATTAGTGTTGAAAATCAGTCAAAATTTGTCTTTTTATTACTGCTTATTACACAGAAAAGTTGTTTCTACGAGAAACACTTAACATAAACACAAAACAATAACTTGTGTCTATATCACATAATACAGAACATAGAACATGCTAGCAAGCACAATAGGGCTGCATTTTGAGCACTGAACAAAACGAAAAAAATACCTCAGTGTAGATTTGATCACGAACCGATACATCAGTTAGAAAATCGTTAAAAAGATGAGGAGCACAAAATGAGTTTTTTTTCGTAGTTTGGGACTCTCCGGCAAGGCGCAACAACAATTCCACCAGAGATTAGATCTAAGATCTTCAGATTGTAAGGCAAGCTTGATGACCATTCAAACAGTGAAGTGGAATCAAATCTACACTGAAATAATCATTCGAAATGTCGACAAACCCAAAAAACTGAAAACAACAGACGACTAGAAAATGACAACTAACATGAAAGGTAACAACAACAAAAACAACAAGAATCATAAGAGAATAGTGCAAACTGGATCAAGAATGCCATAGTGTCTAATCGCTTCAGGAAACACTACACAACGACCAGTGATACTGTAACTAAACTTATTTCCAATTTCAGAACTGAAATAAACAAGTTCCAGTAGAAGTGCTTTTCGGGTTAGCGAAGCTTTCAATATGAAGTTGTTTCTTTTTATAACAAAGTCTTTATCATTTAGGAAGAGGTCATTGCAACAAACTGATCAGTATTTCAATGAACGAAATATTCCCATATTGAGTCATAAGAAAAAGGCACAAACAGCGAAGAAAATTTTCTTTTCGACGATTCATTTTCATGAGCTGTACAATCGTAATTATAATTAACAAAGAAATCTTTAGACCAATCAGATACTGGTAAATTTTGTCCTTGGAAAATTGTATTACATAATGTAAGGTGTAAGAAGGGATGACTAATTGTAAGTTAGAAAGGAGACAGAAGTTGGCATGACGTAATAAGTGTGAGATAGTGAATAATCAATAATCTCGTGTAAAATGGACAGGAATTAGTGGAAAGGCTATAAAGTGTTTTTGTATAAAATATGTATGAAAAACAATGTTATTAATAAACAGTAATAGAGTGGTAGTAAAATGTGGATGATGGGGACAAAATGATAATAAAAGTATTAATAAAATAAAAATAATAATAATGGTAATAATAGTGAACTTACATAATGAAGGAAAGAAGCAAAATTGTGATAAGAAATTTTACTCTGGCCATGGTAAGGCAAGAGAATGTATGTATCGCTTTTGTATGCAGAGGTCCGGTTTTAGATCTCGAATAGCTAATGCTTCAGCTATGTACAGATGGCGAATCCGAAGTCCCTTTGTACGATATTGAGGGACTCTGTGTAACACTGTGAAGCATTCATGTGGGGGTGCTCGATGTCCAGAGATGACAAGGTGTTCGAGGATCGAGCTGTTGCTATTTTCTTGTCGAAAAGAAAATTTTCTTCGCTGTTTGTGCCTTTTTCTTATGACTCAATATGGGAATATTTCGTTCATTGAAGAACTCCAAGGACCCTGTGACAGTAAAGGAATTGGACAAATTCCTGCGTTTTTCTGTCAAGCTTGCTGAAGTTAACACGGAGCTTAATTTTCTGAAACGATGCATCGATAAGCATGAGTATCCAAAACATTACTGGAAGAATCTCCGCCGGAATCATATTTACCCTAATTCAAAGACACTTAAACGTCACACACTCAATCACATCGACGCCATCCGCTCACGCATACCCGAACTTGAACGTAATATATCACAAAGAACCCATGCTTTATATGAACTATCCGATGATGAACGACAAACATTTCAGGATTATGTATCTAGTGTCATACAAAAACGTTGCAACGATACCATTTCACGACTAACAAAAAGCCTGAAACCATCTGAAACTCTTTCGTCGTTTCCACAGAATCCAGAGAAATACGTCTTTAATTTCTCGAATTTTCCTCTGACTCCTGTTCAAATGCAAGTGCTATCACTTGGCCCAAAATTTTGCCATGTATCGAGTAAATTCAACGAATTACAAACTAAAGTACAGTTTGAGAATTTAATGTCACAGACATCCGATTTGTCACCTACTTCTGAAAAAGATCTGGATCAATTCAAAGCTTCAATCCTTGACAGCTGTTACAAGTACATTCATACGCGACCGAGCCACCGTTATCTACTGACCAAGGAACACAAACGACAACTTAAACAGCTCCAAGAAAATAAAGACATAATCCTCGTCCGTCCTGATAAGGGCAATGGTATTGTAGTAATGAATAGATCCGATTATAATGAGAAATTGACAGATATACTATCAGATAACACCAAATTCTTCGAATCACCCAACCAGAAAGACACAACCGAAAGAACCGAAAACCAACTTACAAAATTGCTGAAGAGAATGAAAGAAGATTCAGTCATAACACCGGAGGTTTATGAGCAAATAAAACCTTGCAGTTCAACTATTCCAAGACTGTATGGACTGCCTAAAGTGCACAAGGAGAATGTCCCACTTCGACCGGTCATAGACATGGTTAACTCACCATATCATCAAATCGCGAAGTGGCTAGCTGATATCCTCGAACCAGTTCAAAGACATATGACAAAATATAGCCTCAGAGATACATTTGACTTCATCGACTCAGTGAAGGATGTCAACGTGTCTGAAAGACAAATGATCTCACTAGATGTCGTCTCTCTATTCACAAGCATCCCCCTAACTGAAACAATATGCTTCATTTGTGATTACATCGAAACCAACAACCTAGAAGTTCCTCTCCCAATAAACTACCTGAAGGAACTTCTTCTCAGATGTACGTTCAATATCCAGTTCAAATTCAATGAAAAGTTCTATGTACAGAAAGATGGAGTAGCTATGGGGTCTCCTCTCGGTCCACTCCTAGCCGACTGCTTCATGGCGAGTCTGGAAAACAACATCCTCAATCCCTTGATAAGTCAACTGCACTTATACAAGAGATACGTAGATGACACGTTTATAATCTGTGATGAAAATTGTGATTTAGATTCTCTCCTCAAAACCTTCAACGCAGCGCATCCATCAATAAGTTTCACCTTAGAAAGAGAATCGAACAACGCATTTCCATTCCTTGATGTACTACTCACCAGACGACACGACTGTACGATCCAAAGATCAATATACCGCAAGCCAACATGGACTGGACAGTTTATCAACTTTCAGAGCTTTGTCCCACTAATCCGAAAGAGAAACCTGATACGTACGTTGAGCTCAAGGATTAGAAAAATCTGCTCGGAAGACATGGTGGAGAATGAATTAAATTTATTACGTAAAATCCTACTAGAGAATGGATATCCACCAAGATTTATTGACAAAAACATGAAGGAGAAGCCTCCGATGTCAAACATCGCAACGGTTCCTAAGAAGACTCTCTTCATGAACCTAGAATTCAAAGGTGATGTCGCAGCGGAAATTCTCAGAAACCGCCTTTCTAAATGTCTGAAGAAGACATTTCCAACAGCCACTCTACGTATCACATTCTCCTGCAGACAGTTAATCCAGTCTAACGCTAAGGACAAGATACCGCTTTTGGCCACCTCAATGTGTATTTATCAATTTACTTGCTCGTGTGGAGCAAAGTATATTGGCCGTACGCAACGTCAAGTCCAAAAACGTATTCTGGAACACTGCCCCGCTTGGTTAGCCAGAGGAGAAAAGAAGAATAGCAACAGCTCGATCCTTGAACACCTTGTCATCTCTGGACATCGAGCACCCCCACATGAATGCTTCACAGTGTTACACAGAGTCCCTCAATATCGTACAAAGGGACTTCGGATTCGCCATCTGTACATAGCTGAAGCATTAGCTATTCGAGATCTAAAACCGGACCTCTGCATACAAAAGCGATACATACATTCTCTTGCCTTACCATGGCCAGAGTAAATTTCTTATCACAATTTTGCTTCTTTCCTTCATTATGTAAGTTCACTATTATTACCATTATTATTATTTTATTTTATTAATACTTTTATTATCATTTTGTCCCCATCATCCACATTTTACTACCACTCTATTACTGTTTATTAATAACATTGTTTTTCATACATATTTTATACAAAAACACTTTATAGCCTTTCCACTAGTTCCTGTCCATTTTACACGAGATTATTGATTATTCACCATCTCACACTTATTACGTCATGCCAACTTCTGTCTCCTTTCTAACTTACAATTAGTCATCCCTTCTTACACCTTACATTATGTAATACAATTTTCCAAGGACAAAATTTACCAGTATCTGATTGGTCTAAAGATTTCTTTGTTAATTATAATTACGATTGTACAGCTCATGAAAATGAATCGTCGAAAAGAAAATTTTCTTCGCTGTTTGTGCCTTTTTCTTATAATCAGTATTTACAAGATGTTCACTTAGTGTGCTCCTTATCGAATCACTTCCATCTCATCGTATCCCACACAAAGGGTAATGTTTCCGTTTGCCTTTGGACAGATCCCGTGTTGAACGACCCATATACCTAGCTCCATAGTAGTAAGTGAACTGTTATAAGCGCTTTAAGCAAGTAAAATACAGGAGTGAAGGTTTTGCCAAAAATTATTGATCGAAAATGGTTAAAAATAATAAAACCAAATGCTTATGAAGTGTGACTCCCCGTGGACCTTGAATTCAAATGTTAACTGTCTGTTGACGTTCTTAAGAATATTATTCTTATTCGTTGTTTAGGTTCCCAGTGGCATATAGGAATTCAGCGGTCCATTGCTATTGTACTGAGGTCTCTGTAGTCTTTTTTAGCTGGCTCCACGACTGACCACAAGCTTTTATTAACGTTCCATATAATCCCCCCATGTCATCCACGAACAAACACCCAACTAATCGACTCTCATTCGAGGGCCTGCAGTGTGACTTCACTCAACGATCTCCTCAGGTTTCTCCAGTTTAACTCCATTCCCTTCGGCATATTTGTTGGGCAACAGGTTCTTGAATGGTTGGTTGTCAGAATTCTTTGTTACTTGCTTATCTTTTCCAACCAGCCATCTGTTCTTCAGCGTCAAGAGGAGGCAACGTTTTAGGAAAGTTTGCGGTAGCCTGCTGGGAATGCTGTTGATGACGTGCACGCCGCATCTCTTAAAAATATGGAAGCATTGACTTGAGATTAGCTTTAAAAATGCAGATCTTATTGCTTGGGCTAGGTGTTGTAGATGTTTACCCTGATTTCAGAGTAATGAAGTAATAATGTCTTGCTTCTCCAACCCTGGTTAGCTTTGACATCTTAATCCATACCGATTGTAGTTAAAACAATGCTACCCAGGTAAGTAAAGTACACAAATTTCCTTAGATTTCTCCCGTTGGTGGTAGCTGGTCCTTGTCATTGTGGTTCAGGTATCTTAATCCCCCATATCTTCTCTATGTTTACCTAAAGTCTTATCTTCACTGCTCCTTCTACCAACTTGTTGGTTTCCCCTTGTGTATATATGAGTTTGTGAGATATTAAACAAAAGCATCCGCAAAGTGAAGAGTCTTCAAGAGTCTTTTTGTCGATTCAACGTATTGTCGTCTTTTCTAACTCTTTTAAAAGTATACTCCTTGCGGTGCCACGAGTGAAAATAGTGGTAGTGAATAGCACAATTGTCTATTCGGCGAAATGAGGTACAGTAATAGCTACATATATAAACCTTTCATTGGAAATTCAATTCCCAAAAATTATTCGTATTCGTCTTTTTTGTTTTCATTTCAAGCTCTATATATTGTTTCACAATGACCTTCATTACTTCTCTGCTCAATTTAATCCACTGCTTCACTTTTTACGATTCATGAAGAAGACGTCATCATTATAATGCCTACAAATTATCAGCAGCACACACTATAGCAGCATCATAGAATGTTTTGCAGGTGACAATTGCTTTTCAATAACGTGAAAAACAAGATCCTAAACCTGACCAACTCCATAGCCATATACTAATTCACCTGATCCTGTGGAGCTAGGTATATCGGTCAGCAATGCAAGTTTAACTCAGAAAGGGTACGGGAACACTTACGTCCGTAGCTACGAAGTATTTCTGTGAGCAGCGCGATAATTGAATACCTTCACCCATAAATATTAAAATAATACTCATGTAGATATGGATCATCGGCTCAAGCACAAGACTTTCAGCCAGTGGATCCTGGGTTCGAATGACACTTCATCTAATTCAGTCTACACAACTGCGTACCATCTTCAGTTAGCGAAATAAGTGTGTGACTAATATTCTCATACATGAAAAATCTAGCCCAGCTAACTGAATTCTTGCCAAAATAACATTCAAAAGGGTTAATAGAATATTACTAAAATGCCATGCCTTAAGAGAAAAAATACTACTTCAGGAAATACTTCTTCTAGAAAATTGATATCATGAGTAAGAGATATCTGTTATCATTTCATATCACCAAGTAAATAAACCAACAGGACTTTTCCTCTCTGTATTTTATGTGATGTAATCAAAATTATTCACTGTTTTATAGATACATATGGAAGCAGTTAGAAGGCAAACCACTCGGAATGACTGTGAACAGAGATTGTATTAAGGTGTTGAGAGGGTTGAGTAAGACGAAGATCTCATTATACACCGGTATCCGGTACGGTATAAACCTCTTCGTTGATAAAATCGAATTTAAAAAAAAAACTACTACAAGATATATATATATATATATATATATATATATGAACAACATATATAGTGCAGATAAACACTGATATTTAGGACGACATTACTGTTGACGTGATAATCCAATATTCTATATTTATACCACAACACAGAGACAGACTGCGAGAAGACACTTAAGTGACAACAATGGCTTAAAAAACGATGGTGAAACAGAATTAAGCCAACAACAAACCTGAAATCGATGCTGAAATAAAATCAAAATTCAGAAAAAAGCGACCAATGTAAGATTCATGATTATTCTGAGGTTATGCCTTAGACATTTCTAGGAAATAAGCAGGAACACAGAACACCTTGAAACTTACTAGTTATACATCAATGACTAATAGTTGTCGGGGTTCGAGGTAGTTACTTTAATTTACAGCTGTTGAACAGAATCAAATCCAATGGACTTATGATTCTAGCTTCCTCCAACTTCTACGTTACTGAGCGGTAGAACCCCTCACATTGATAAATGAGATTGACGAATCAGCAGTGGCTGGGTCTGTTAGGGTGTATGGGTTGCTTGAACGGATATCTCGATATTACCAGGATTAAGAAGACTATGTCATTTATTAAACTCAGGTAGTCTCCTGGTTGGTCCTAAGTTCGGAAAAAGATGGGAGGTTGGAAGTGTCACTAGCGATCCTACCCCAGAAAATCGACCCAATCTTTACAGAAACTTGTTTGGTGGTGGCTAGCAGTAGAATCTAGGACATATTGTATGTGTTAATTGTGACTTGACAGTTTGATCAACTTACTCTCTCCACAGTGTCCCCAAAGCTGCAAACACCGAAGTACTGTCTACTAGGTCCCTGGACCATGAGAGCCACTTGTCGCGCAACAACCATACACATATACGAACGAAATCAAAGACATGAGTACATAATTTCAAATCATATCTAGTGCACCGGAGGTGGTTCTTATAGCACAGTGGCTTACTGAATAATGCTCAAGCTTTTAAACTGATGGGTATGGGTTGGAGTCTCAATGAGAATACCACCGCTCACTGAAAGTGAAGGTACATCTAACTGACTAGTCTCAAACATGATGAAACGCTCGCCCTGTATTCTATTTCCAGTGGCCACTAAACTGGTAGTTGGGTCTCCTAATTGAGTTAAAAATATATCTGAATAGTAATTCAAAAGAAAATAGAAGCAAAAACGAAGCACTAAAAGACGACATGATGAACCAATATGCATCCATACAGATTCCATTCTTTACTGAAGCATTACATTTCTGGAGTAGAATGAACTGTAACATCCAAGCATGAATACAACTGACTCCAGTTCAGAGACATATTTGATAGTGTCTACAATACATGAGTGTAAAGATCTCAGAATCTATTCAGACAGTCTTAGTTTAAGTATGAGTGCTAATAAAATTCGACTGTCCTTTATGCAACAACACAGCTGAATACCTCTTTGTTCTTGTCGATTTGCCCCGTGAAAAAAACAAAACAACAACAGATAAAGTGTAGTACTCCAATTTTAAGATAAAGTAACGATATCTACTAATGTTGGTGTATCCCTCCCTTTGAGTGTACTAAACAAACAAAAAACATTTTGAATAGAAAAACGCAGTAACCATCTTTATAACTCAATGAAGACTTACCAAATTCACGTACAACGTCAACAAAAAGACATTTAACCATATAACAGTGTCTGCATCAAAATTGATATAGAAAGGATTCACTTGACAAAATAATGAACACGGTAAGGCTAATTGTAGACAGTTGGGGGTTGGGAGAGAGAGAGAGAGGAAACAATAACAAAATTAAATTGACTAAGCGTGAACATGTTAAATAATGAATAAATAAAAACTATTATAAAGAGAACATGTATTCATTAAAAGTCTGTGGTAAACGACAACACCAGTGCATGACGCAGTATCTTATCTCCAAGAGGACATCAATTCCTTTAAAACTACAATTAAAGTGCATCATAACGGTGAGCTAACTAGGTTGTTGTAACTCAACAACTTTCGACTTAGGCTATTATACTTCTCCTTCTTCATTTCTAGACTACAACTTTCTTGATGTCTGGGACAAGAGGTGAATCATTACCATTATATATATTCTCAGGTGATTCGACTACCAACTACCATTTTCTCCCTTCACTTTGCAATATTGGACTGTAAGCTACATATGGTTGTGCAGGTGTGACACATTGACCGAAACAATCGATTTACTAACAATGAACCAACAGTTCACTTCTCCCTCCACCTACTTCAACCTGGGGAAGTGACTCATACAATAAAAGTTAACAACAGAAATGTTGAATACTGACAGAACTGTGTAGGTTTATTGAAACATTTATCGAGATTAGTTAACAAATACTCAGAATTTAAATCTTAATAAAATTATATTAATCAAGAATAGGGTTTTTATTTTAACTTTTAACACCAAAACCGAACAGAGCTTCTCATGCAACTGTGTTATTCTTCAAGTACCGTGAGTTACTTCTGGCAAAAATCTATGGAAGTAGATTCATCAGAGGAATAATGCTAAGAAAATCTATCGAAAAACTACCTCTAGGAGGTTTAAATACTTTTTCCACTGGAAAGTTATCATTCTGAAACAAGTGAAGGTGAGAAGTTCTTCTTATACGTCTGTTATATATACATAAAGGTCTCCTCGAGCATCTTGTCGACTGTAGACATCAGGCATCTTTGTATGACTAATTCAAAGTGATCAAGAGTTCCAAAATATTGCATATTTCACTGAAACACCTTAAGGTACGTATACCAGACTTCGTCCATTTCGTGTAGTCAGATATATTAGATCATTTTTACATTTATTACGTGATATCAACTTGCGTACTCCCTCTTAGATTATTCTTCACATTGAGTAAAACATTTTCCTAGGAAATAATAACCAGCACCTGGTTGGTTTTGTGAATTCTCCGTTTAATAAAGAAAGAAAAAATACTATTGTACAGTTGTTGAGAATAACTCGTCGAAACTAAAATTTTCTCCATGGTCACTGGCTTAATAAGAGAATGTTCCGTTCATGAGAGAACTCTTTCGACCCTGTGTTGATAAAGGAATTAGAGTAACTTCTGTATTTCCCTGTTAAACTTAATGTAGTTAATACGAAGTTGAATTTCAACTATAGGTTGAACAAGGTTTAAAAACACCAATAAAACATTGGTGTGTAATAGGCACGTAGATATTTCTTTGATTGGTTAATGAGAAATAACCAATATGAAGTATTTAATTCCATTATGGGTAAATTTTATTTTGATAGAGTCTCACAGTGTTATACAGTAATATTTACTGATGACGTTTCGAGCACAATTTATTGCCACTCGTAATCATATCAAGGTACTCAAACAACTTTCTTGCCTCGTTTATATTCATGAGTAAAAATTGATTAGACATGAATGAAATCAATAAAAGTTCAAAGGACATGCGTGAAACAGATAGGAAAATAAAGTTGATATGATTATGAGCAATAAATTGTGCTCGAAACGTCATCAGTAAATATTACTGTATAACACTGTGAGACTATCAAAATAAAATTTACCCATAATGAAGTATTTAGCCTTAAAGTTAGGATACTAGCCATATTTTATCAATCAAATTTTCAATACGATCACCAGACTACGTGATTAATACCATATCACTCGATTTTATACTGATGTTAAGTGACTGAAACCATTTGGTTGGAAGCGTTGGGATTGATTTTTTAATTCGTGGAGAATACCCATCGACACGTTAGAGAGAAAAGAACAAGAAGTTTAGCAAAGATATCTTTCGGTGATTTCATTCTCAAAAGCTGTACAATCGCATTTATATACATAAGTTTACACAGACACCTAGATAGTCTACATAGACAGTTTGTCATGATAGGTCTGACCCAGTTCCTGGACGTCGAATTGACAAGAGATGATGAAACTCTGAAAAGATCTATCCACAAAAAACCATCATGGAATGGCCAACTGACAAACTTCTACAGTTGGATACTTATCAATCGAAAAAGAGCTCTCATCATCTCGCTGGCCCACTGTACCAGAAGAATTTGCAGTGGTTACTGCTTAGAAGACGAGCTTCTATTTCTCCAAAAACATCCTGGGTCAAAATGGATACCCGACACGCTTTGTGGAGAACATGAAACAAAAGCCAAAAAGGGAAGAATGCACTTCAGTGCCAAAGAAAACACTTTATTTGAATCTGGAATTCAGGGGAGACTTCCTTAGGAGTAGAATCTTCAGTTCTCTAAAGGTCTTACTTGCAGCGACTCTAAGAGTGATATTATCCAGCCGCCCACTGCTTCGAAGCAATGTGAAGTACAGACTTCCAGATATGACTACTTCAACATGCATATATCAGTTCACATGCTCGTGTGGGGCTAGGTACATAGGTCGTTCCATGCAGGTCCTATTAAAACGTGTTAGAGTACATTACTCAGCATGGCTGCAAAGAGGAGGCACTGGCTCAATCAGGAGCGCCATAATTGAACACCTCGTCAGCTTCTGTCACAGTATCTCAACTGACTCATCATTCAAAGTCATTTACGAAGTAAACAAAAATCTACCACAGGTAGTGTGTTTCCAACTTCTTTGTACTGCAGAAGCCCTTGCCACATGCATCGAAAAACAGGAACTGTGTGTTCAAAAGAAACTGGTCCAAACTCTATATTTGCCATGGATCAAGTTCGATTTATCTCCTTAGGTCTCGTTTTTTCATCCACTTCATTTTCCTTCTTTCTCCTTTTTCATTTTTAGTTTTAAAATATTATTCCTTCAACTTGTTCACATGCTCATCGCATTCACATATTGAGTCGTTAAATAAACTATTTTCTAATTCTGTATAATTTATATTCACACCCTCAAACTTTCATATCAAGTTGAAAATTATTATGACCTTTAACCATCTTCGTTACTATGTGGAATTAAATAATAATTGAATCTATGTAAACTTATGTATATAAATGCGATTGTACAGCTTTTGAGAATGAAATCACCGAAAAGATATCTTTGCTGAACTTCTTGTTCTTTTCTCTCTAATGAGTTTACAATGATTATTAAGATTCTTTGACAAGGTGTGCATCTTACACCTTTGAAAGAAGACTGTTATCTACCCCTCTTTCAGTAATTATCTATACCTTACAAAACATATTTAGCATACAGAAAGACACGGACAAAATATAAAAACACAAAAGAAACCAACTTACACTTATTATTATTATTATGTGTACATGAATCTACTCCTGCATCGACATGATAATAATTTCTTAATTCGATTGTTAAAAATAATGTTGTCTCCGGTAGATTATGCAAGTGTTTATCTGATCCAATAAAAATATTCTTATCAATCGGTAATTCTGTATGTATTCGAGGATTATTCAATACAGAGTGAGATAGAAAGTGTTTATTAGTTGATGATTTCTTTGTTGATAAATTTCCAGGATAGGAGACACACGATACACTGATATCACCTAAACGTAGAATACCAACACTCTGAAGAATTGATGTATTCACAGATTTGAAGGCATTACAATCAAGTATTAACGATTGGTTACTGAAGGTAGGAGAATCATCTTTATATGGTTTACTATGATTAAAGTGAACAGGATTTATTCCCTTTAACCAGTTATCCCGTGCCCCATGAAATTCTTGACATCCAGGCCAAGGTAATTCTGGAGAAACTGTGTGTAAAGAAAAATTAAAAGTATAATGAAATAGTGAAAGGAACGAAACATATTAAAACTTGGAGTAGGATAATAAAAAAATCAAGCAGTCCATTGTATTTCATCGGCTAGATTGCCTACTGTTAACAGTATGAATAACGACAGTAATTAGATGGCCTCTTAAATACACCAGAGGTGATAGAAATTCATCTGAGTAAGTAAGCTCTAAGTCTGTGTGTAAAGAAGTAAAATACCTAAAGGCACTTTCTTTCCTGTAACTGTACACATAATTTGTACACATGCTTACTAATAATTTTTCTCTAAACTTTGTAACTATCATTTCGCATTGTTATTTTATTATGATTAGTGTTACAATTAGTTGACTTAATCAAATCCTGGTATTTTTACGTGATTATTAACTAATATCGATTCATCTAATCTTCTTAGTTGGTCATTATCTTACAAATTACTGATTACATAATAGGCTGCTGTTAACCTACGCAAATCAGTTATTTTTTTTTTGTTGCAATTTCAACATACTTTGATTTGTTTCTCTAATGAATTAAAAGTATTTAAAAAAGGGGGTAAGACTATTAACTTTCATTATTAATAGGTTGTAGCGTGTTAACAAAAGATACATTGACGTAATATTACTGATCCGTTTCAATCCTGTTTCACATGATGCTATTACCTTGATAAAATTAATTAAAGGAAATTTGTGTGTGAAAAATCACATTCGCAATTAGCTAATTAAGTCTCAATTTGTCGTTTACACAGTTCGAGGTGGTGGAATTTCACCACAATTCCCCATGGGAATCAGAATTATTCAGATCACATGCTGTGATCTGATTGATACTACAAATGACAATCAAGAAAGCAATCGTGAACTCATATGCTACTGACTCATACACGTGAGTAGTCCTCCTGCTATGCTTACTTTCTTGATTGCCATTTTGGTTTTCAAAGGAAACTGTGGGGAAGTTTCACCTCAAACAATGTAAATTGAATATCTCGAATTAATTTTGCCAACTGATAATTTGATCTAATGTCTTACAAGTTCGCTATAGTAGCTACACAGAATTCAGATACTTCAAGACACATTTTACCGTTCATTTTCTTGTCATCAAATGTAAGCTTGCAGGGATTTTATTGATTTCAAGTAAAATCACAAACTAATATCAACAGGAGAAGTCTTGAAAATCAGGGAGTACTGCAGAACTGTTCCATCAGAGCTATTGATCTATTTCCGAAGAGTCTCAAGCTAGGATGAATTATAAGCCAACAACTTTATACATAATTCACAACAACAATAAAATCTGTAACAAATCAGTTCCAAAAGCATTCACTACAGTAAGAACTATTTTCCCTAGTAGCCAATTCCATGCTAATGATGCAACGTAAAAACGACTATGATTGGCTAACACAAAGGAAACGACTTTCTCTATGAGACTGCCTTTAAACTCTGGTCCAGGTAAATTGAACGACCAGTCACATTACTGAAAGAACTAAAAATAGTTACGGGAAGTCGGGAACAAAACGAAAAGAGATTTATTTTTTCAAAAAGCAAGACAATTAACAAAACATAATTAAACTCTTTTTTACTGTTAAGAAGAAAGCAAAATTAAAATCATAGAAAACAACGCCATCCCCTGGTAACATAAATGTTTCCAATCAATTCACCCATCAATGTAATTGACGGCTAAAGGTCATCTGATCTTTTTCTCTTGAGTTTAACATGCTTTTATTTTATTTCTACTGCATCTCTCCATCAAATTTATTCTCCTTGTCAATTATGCTGGACATTCTTTGAATCTGTTGTCAAACCCTGTTGTTCAACTGGGAGTATCTCACAGTTCATTCAATCTATGATCCAAAACGTTTGCTCAACAATTGATCATATTGAAGGGTTTCCTTTTGATAATTCGTATTTAGCTTATGCCAAACAAGATTCATTAATATAAGTAGTTGGAAACTATTCATCAAAACAACAAAACCAACTCTCTAACCAGACCAAGAAAATCCCGATATCGGAACAACAGTACAACTATTAGTTTGAAGTCGAAATGAAACAGACATCATAAATACAGGTCGTAACATTGACATGAGGTCGTCCTTCGAACTCCTCATCAGTTAATAGACTGAAAGACGTACAGGACTTATTCCTCAATTAAACTCTCCGAAGACCTTAACCCCATAGATACAGCTTTATATGTCTAGTCTAGGACAACACTGGATCATTCGTGATGTTTAGGATTTTCAGTGGATATTTTGATTAGCTTCAATGCAGATTTCATCACAAACAGATTCCCAGTTACAGAATCAATGAAAACAAATGAGTACTGAACGCATACATGCAACCTAATAGATAACAAGTGATAGTACATTGACACACTGGAGAGCGAACCACCTCCCTTAGTCGCGAATCATATCGTCAACCAGTAGAAAAGCAGTACCACAGGGACACGGAAACAAGTACAAAAGACGAACGCTGGACAGGGAGAGACAGATAGAAAGAAAGACATAGAGAGAGAGAGAGAGAAGAGGCTTTTATTGTTTCAACAACAGTGAAAACAGTTGAGACGAATGACGAGTGTAAACATTTGAAATGATCTTCATCACCACATGAATTCCCTGATAAGTTTACGAATTTAATGACCAATACGAGTTCAACTGTTGGTTCCATAAACAGTATAAAACACCAAAGGCTAGAAAAGTAAACAGCTATCGTAATCTTCCACACATGTCAAGCACATATACATTTTTGTACTATATTGATTGGATTTCGAAGTGAAATGAAGCAACGCAAACTGTTACCTGAGTCGAGGATATTATTTATGCCTATTTTCCTTTCTGACTATTAGAATATGAACACGTGGTATATTAGAGAATATTGACACGAATTTCAGATACAAAAGGTGGTCAAAACATTGTCTTCTCTAATTCCATAATAATTTGTTTATTAGATATATTACACAATGAAACAGTATTATTTACTGGATGACGTTTCGAACACAATTTGTTGTTCATAATCATATCAATTATAATCACAGGACTTCGAAACTTGAGTTTTATAGTTTTCTTTGTTCTCTCGTATTTGTCGTAGGGGTAGTGGAAGTTTCGAAGTCATGTGATTATTATTGATATGATTATATACAATAAATTGTGTTCGAAACGTCATCTAGTAAATAATACTGTTTCACTGTGTGGTATACCTAATAAACTAACTAATATCCAATTACTTACTACCACAGTGCCCAAGTTTTACACATATATGAATTGTTTTCTCTACTCTGAATCAGATAAAATCATCTAATTTTATTGAAACTAGCGTAAAACATTGAACTTCTTCACTTTTCAAATTTGATAACGGATTGATATCAGTTGAAGAGTTAGAAACCAGGGTGTACTGGACAACCGTTTTGTCCTACTTTGGGATTCTGGAGAGGTACGAAACCATGATCCGCCACACAGAAGTCCTTGATCATTTAGCCTTTGGGATGGAATCCAATGGCCCGTGAATTCTAACCTCTGCAAAGTAACAATTTTTTTTTACCGTAACACTGAACTTTCACCATCATAATAAACCAGAGTATGTATTATAATATGTTATTCACTTAAACGCCTATAAAGTATGTGTAAGCAGTGTATTTTTTTATGGTACACAGACTGTTCTCTCTCCCATCCTCTGCTAACTGACACAAGTACATGTGGAAAACAGAGTCACAATGATTGTTGTATGAGAGGTGATGATGATACTATCCACCTGGCTAATCTGGAGTATGAATTCAAACTCAGGACCTATTGATTGAAAGTTAAATAGTTGAGTCAATGAGGCAGGTCTCCACACATGAACAAGCGAAAATTCACTATCAGATATAGGCACATAAACATATCTTAAATATAGAACAACAGGAACATACCTTCCAAATGATATGGATACCAATCTATGCATAAATTAGTTAGGTTAACGCGTATAGATCCATTTGGTGTTACATTAGGAGTGAGATGAATTTCTGTCAAAGAGAAATGATAAACATTATATAAATAAAGCGATAATATAACTAACCAAACCTGAAGGGACGTTTGCAGATAACAGCATGATTCATTTCGGTTAATTTTGTATTTTCCGAAATATTCGGTCTCCATGTTGACATTTCGGCTATTAGTACAGACTCTTCAACGATGTCTGAGGATTAAAAGAATGTTACTTGGTGGATGGTGACTAGCATCGGAATCTGGGACGTGCACTTCGCCCATTCTGAGACTCTTCATCTGGATGTACCTCCAATCACCAGTGAGTAATGGTGTTACCACTGGGACTCGAACCCAACATCCATTGTTTCAAACTCCAAAACTTTATCCGCCTGGTCTACCACAGCCGCCTCTTGTGCAGTGGGGTAGCAGTTATTATTCTTTTAATTTGATCTTGTATTTCCCATATACACATCTCGAATAGCACTGCTAGTCACCATCCACTGAATAATAACACGATTCGGATGCGAATATCCACCAATATAAATCGAACTCAGAGGGATATTTTTTATTTCAAGATAGAGGTTACAATATCCTCGAACTATTTTCCAAGAAACCTGCTATGTAAATCAATCTTCACCAAACATACATATCAGTCATACATGTCCAAACCAAGTTCACTTTTACCAGTTTGAAAAAATCTGGGTATATAATATTCGTTATTATAAACAGTGATGAATACGTATCAGTCATTGAAGATAAAGTCACGTGGCAAAAGGTCAACGAAACGCTCTATGGTAGTACGAATTAACTCAGTGATGAGAAAATTTCTGAGGACAACTAAGCAGAGTCAGTGCCGGCAAGAGAGACAGTTAATTCAATTATGGAGAATCCCAAAATGCTCACTCTACATCAAAGTAAGCGCTGAAGATGTCGTCTAGAGGGACTATGGAAGATTCCCAATTTTAACCACCCAACTCACAGAACACAACCACACAGAAAATATCACTGTTGTTTAATACATAAACTTCAGTTAGACAGTCTATGTATCAATATCCAACTAGGAATACATTTCACTACTGCACAGTAAGGGAAGATGTATTAATTTTCAGTATACCCAAAAGATGTTGGAAAATTTCAGCAAATGACATCAGTCCTTATTTCTGTCCATCAACTGTTAAGTTACTATTAATCCACGAACTTGGTACATTATGGGCACCAAGAAAGGTGCCGCACAAAGTTTCATAGCTTGCGCGAGGGTTGCAATATCGCCTGAGCACCCAAACCAAAGCAGGTGGTTGTCTGAAGGGACCCTCTTCTGCGAGCCTCTGACTTAAAGTCTGATCCACAAAATATTTGAGCAATGTCAGGTGCTGCGTTCAAATGGTTGCTGGTAACTAAAACAGGTCTATATGTCATTTGATCCTTTCAGATTCTGAAGCCCATTTACACCATGGGTTTGAAGTCAGTGTTTTTCAGCAAACCACGGTCGACCACCTTGTACACCAGTCCAGTTGTAAGCTCCAGACGTTCTCATTCACCCTTTCACTTTTGTGAGATACACCCTTGCCACGTGAAGGCAGTGAATGGGCCTTATATATAAGGACTAACCTGAGAGAGACTGTGAGTACGTGACCACATGGGAGCATTTGGTGAGAAGGACCAAAGTCTACCCACCCTTCGGTCGTACCAGATAATTTATGATATATAGATGTAATTTTCTACACGTCATTTGTACATGTGCACTTCTGTGCACCAGTTCAATTTGCTACACTCCATATACTACACAAAGGTATAGAAAAGAGAGATTCAAAAGGACTATTTTAGGCAAGAATTTGCGGGAGAAAGAATATTAACATAGAAGAACATGAAGGTTTAATGGATATGGGAGATTATAAAGAGTGAATGCATCCGCGTTAGTGAGAACGATTTTAAGCCATATCACCAATAGTCTACGGCACTGGCACTAAGTATCCCAAAGATCCTAACTAGGCAATCAACACTTACCTACGTGGTCCAAACGAACTATCAAAGACTTCATAGCCTGTTTCCGGGATTTGGCTTGATCACCCTTAACTCTTTTACAACCCAACCCTATGGCAGCTAACATTGCTCGATGAAGAAGGCGATGGCTCAGCATCCGCAGCACATATCCTAGTCATCTCAATCGATATAGCTTCAAAATCTCATCGATTGACTTACGCTCCACAACTAACAACCTGCGCCTAACCTCAATATTACTCACCGTATTATGCCAATTAACACGAAAGACAGAATGCAAAAGTATATAGTCAAAGACGATTAGCCTTTTCATATCTTTTACTTGTAACGGTCATGTCTAACAACCATAAACGAAAATAATAATACTGTTAATAATCATAAAACTTATACATAACTCACTTTCTTTAGTTTCATCACAAAAGTGTAATTCTGTACGACTAACAGTCACATGATAAGATGTTTCTAAAACATCATATTGATGAAACATATTTACAGCATTTACATAATTCTCTGTATATTTATTACTATTATTATTATATTAGCAGCAGCAGCAGTTGTAGTGGTAGTATTAGGATTCGTAATTGTCGACGGACTGCTACTGTTAGCATTGTTAGAATTTACATTATTATTAATATTGTTACTATTAATAACAGACGGTGTTTCCGGTGTAACCCTGGTGACAGTTTGTCGCTGAATACAGGAAGAGAAAGAAACAGAAAAATGAAAATTAGACGAATAATATATATATATATATATATCGAAGTCTTTAATTAGGAATAACCCACATATGAGTGTTACACATTTTTTAAGACAAAGTTTTGAGAAAGACTTTTGATTGAATACTTGCAAATAATAATAACAATAGATCACAACAACACTCTAATATACCACCTGTTCATAGTCTGATTGTCAGAAAAGAAAATAGGCATAAATAATATCCTCGACTCAGGTAACAGTTTGGGTTGCTTCATTTCACTTCGAAATCCAATGAATATAGTACAAAAATGTATATGTGCTTGACATGTGTGGAAGATTACGACAGTTGTTTACTTTTCTAGCCTTTGGTGTTTCAGACTGTTTATGGAACCAACAGTTTGACTCTTATTGGTCAATAACTTCGTAAACTTATCAGGGAATTCATGTGGTGATGAAGATCATTTCAAATGTTTACACTCGTCATTCGTCTCAACTGTGTTCACTGTTGTTGAAACAATAAAAGCCTCTTCTCTCTCTCTCTCTCTGTCTCTCCCTGTCCAGCGTTCGTCTTTTGTACTTGTTTCCGTGTCCCTGTGGTACTGCTTTTCTACTGGTTGACGAAATGATTCGCGACTAAGGGAGGTGGTTCGCTCTCCAGTGTGTCAATGTACTATCACTTGTTATCTATTAGGTTGCATGTATGCGTTCAGTACTCATTTGTTTTCATTGATTCTGTAACTGGGAATCTGTTTGTGATGAAATCTGCATTGAAGCTAATCAAAATATCCACTGAAAATCCTAAACATCACGAATGATCCAGTGTTGTCCTAGACTAGACATATAAAAAGCTGTATCTATGGGGTTAAGGTCTTCGGAGAGTTTAATTGAGGAATAAGTCCTGTACGTCTTTCAGTCTATTGACTGATGAGGAGTTCGAAGGACGACCTCATGTCAATGTTACGACCTGTATTTATGATGTCTGTTTCATTTCGACTTCAAACTAATAGTTGTACTGTTGTTCCGATATCGGGATTTTCTTGGTCTGGTTAGAGAGTTGGTTTTGTTGTTTTGATGAATAGTTTCCAACTACTTATATTAATGAATCTTATTTGGCATAAGTGAAATGCGAATTATCAAAAGGAAACCCTTCAATATGATCAATTGTTGAGCAAACGTTTTGGATCATAGATTGAATGAACTGTGAGATACTCGCAGTTGAACAACAGGGTTTGACAACAGATTAAAAATTATAATAAGCATCACAGTGAAGCATTTGGAGATATCAGTCTGTTTTCAACTACTTACTGTCAGTATCCTAGCACGGACCAGGTAAGTGAAACCTATTTTCATATGGTCCAGATGGCATAGATTAGAGCTGCCTATTGATTTGAAGATTCATGACCGTTTTTCAATCTACTCCTATTTCAGATAAAATTTATCATTGTGAAAAGTGGTGATGATTCTTCGGGCATAACATGCATTCCATCTACCATAGTTAGTAAAGTTTCGTTATCACATTAGCTGACTCACCTCACCTAGCTAACAGTCTGTGTCTAATCTCAGCGTGCATTACTTAATGTATCAGTCATAATTACTCTGTGTAATATTCTGCGTTACTACCCGATTGGTTGTTTAAAGTGATCAGAATGGAAATTCATGACCCCCTCCTCTAGCTGACCTCTTCTCGAAAACCTGAAAAAACCACACCTCTCAAGCAGACAAAAATATTTTTTTAAACCAACATCTAACTCGTGGTAATATGACTTAGAATAAATAAAATACCTGAAATCAAACAATAGCGTGGGTAATAAATAATAAGTTAAATTCACTGCATCCGTTCCATAACAATTTTAAAATGATCACACTCAACTAACCTTTGCCTTATCTGCAGCAAATTTCTTGCTTTGCTCACTAGCTAAATGTATTGAATGCTCTAAAGAACGAGCAAAAACAATAGCTGCTTCAACTTGTGGCAATGTGAAAACCCATAACAAATCGTCAAGTATCAAACGAATTCGTGAACTAATCAATGCACCGTCTAGAAATATTAAAATAAAAAGAGAAAGGGGAAGAGATAATAAAAAAGCGGATTAAACTTGGGTGATGATGATGATCACATAATACGGAAAAATCTACTTTAATTCATAAATTACCCACTAAAAGTCATGACATTCATGCTAAAGAACAACGAAATGAGTAGTTAATTTGGCTGGATTCACCATAGAACTTGGCACCGAAGTGCAGCAGTTCAAGTCGCCACGTTCCAAACAGCACACAAAGGTAGACAAAAAGATGAGTGAAGAGAATCAATAGAGTTTTGACAAGTATAAGAGTGAAACAGAATGAGTAATGGTAGAAAGGAATATGAAAGATTACAGAGACTGAATACATCTGCGTAAGCCATTGACAACGATTTTGAGCCATGTCACCTATTGTCTCCAGCCATTGATTCTTAGAGTCCCGTGGGCTCCAACCCGGAAGTCTGCATCTCCCTACCTGACTCAGTTTAACTGTCAAGGATTTCATGGATTGATACCATGTTTTTGTTTGGTCACCACTTACTCTTTTCTCACCTGCACCTATATCAGCTAGTAATGCCCGTTGGGGGAGGCGATGGTTAGGCATGCGCAGCACGTGACCTAGCCATCTCAATCTATGTAACTTAATAGCCTCGTCGACTGATTTTCCCTCTTTGCCCAACATTCTAGGCCTAACGTCAACATTACTTACCTTACCTTATTATTATAGACATCTATGATCAAAAACTGTCAACGTTTTCATGTCTTCAACTCGTATTGGCCATGTTTCAGAGCCATAGAGAAGGACGGAGCGAACTGCTGAGCAGTATACACGTCCCTTAGTTGATAGTCTGATGTCACGCCTACGCCAGAGACGGTGTAAGTTGGCGAAAGCAGCCCGAGCTTTTTGAATCAGTGCTGAGATTTCGTCACCAATCAACCCGTTGGTGCTGATATAACTTCCCAAATAGGTGAAGTGGTCAACATATTCTATCACTTCACTCCCAATCACTAAGCTAGGGGTAGACGTAGTCCAGTCCTGTAGCAGCATCTTACATTTTACAGGGGTGAATCGCATGCCAAACATATGAAGATTGCTGCTCAAGGTGTTCAGAAGACTCTGCATTTTGTCAGCATCCTCCCCTAACAGGACTATGTCGTCTACATATTCTAAGTCCATAACAAGTCGATTCCTAAGTCGTTAAGTTCAGTCAAGGATACTTCCATTAGCATATCTATGATGAAGTTAAACAGAAAAGGGGAAAGTGGACATCCTTGACGGACACCACTGGTTGTTATCAATTCAGATGACAATTCCCCATAAACCCTTACATGGCTACGTGAGTTTGAGTAGAGTGCCTTGATTAGTGCAGTGTACTTTCTTGGCACTCCCTTCACAGTCAAACATTGCCATAGTACCTCTCGATCCACGGAGTCGAAGGCCGCCTTCAAGTCAAGAAATATGGCAATTGTTGGACGCCTAAAAGTGTGTCTATGTTCTAGGATCTGTCGGAGAGTGAAGATATGATCTATGCACCCTCTACCTGGCCTAAAACCCGCTTGATTTTCCCTCGTTTGTTCCTCCCGAGCTCGGCTTAGTCTGTGCATGATTACTGAGCCTAGGATTGTAGAGACTATGTTCATCAGGCTGATCCCTCTATGATTATCACATGAGGACTTATCTCCCTTCTTGAATATTGGTATAATAAGTGACTTACACCAGTCTGATGGAACCGTCTCTGATTCCCAGACGTTACCTAGTACCTTAGTTAAACTATATACTAGTTTGTCACCCCTCATATTTAAACACCTCTGGAATAATTCCGTCGGGTTCTGCAGCTTTACCTCGTTTCAAATTAGAGATAGCTTTTGTGACCTCACTTATAGACGGCGGGCCAGTGTCTAGTAGTTAATTTGGAAAAATAGAGATCTGAGTACATTTCTCACGCTTATTTCACACTTAACAAGTGTGAACACTTCCTAAACTATCTAAAAATAAGTTCAAAACAGTGTGAATATATTCGAATGTCAAGTAATGCGTTATTATACTCTTGGGTTCCCGGTGGAATATAGGACTTCAGGAGCACACCTTACTTCCCTTTATCCTCTGCAGTCATTTTTAGCTGGCTCCATGACAGCCAACAAACTTTCATTTACACTCACCATCATCTCCTTGTCGACCTCGAACACCCTCCCAATTGGTTGATTCCGATTCGGGTTCCACTTGAGAGTCTGGCGTGTGGTGTCACTTAACGGTCTCCTCAGTGTACGCCCAATCCATCTCCATTTCTTTCCGCATATTTCTTGGGTAATAGGTTCTTAAATAGTTCTTTGCTGGAGCCCCTGGTTACATATGCTTATCTTTCCCAACAAGTCACCTGATCTTCAGTATCCAGCGTATGCAGCTGTTGGTGAAAGTTTTCAGTAGCGTATTACAAAGGCTCTCCGTAACTCGTCAAGTCTCTGAACTATATAAAGATACTACCTAAGCATTAGTGTCAAAAACCTGAGTCTTTTTCCTTATTCTGAGTGCAGCAGATTTAATGGTTTCAGTCAAATGGTCTGTCTTGCTTTTCCAATCCTGAACTTAACATCTCCATTCGTTCCGACTATGATTGAAACTATGATGCTTAGCTGAGTGAAAGAGGTGACTTCTTTCAAATTTCTCTTGTTGGCAGTGATTGGCGCTTGCTGTTGTTGATTCGGTATCTTCATCAACCCTGTCTTCCCTAAGTTCACTTGGAGTCCTGTCCTCGCTGCCTCTTCTGCCAACATGTTGGTTTTCACCCTTAGAGTTTGTGTGACACTAGATATGAATCGTCAGTGAAGTGCAGATTACCTAGAGTCTTCCTGTCGATCCAGCGTATGTCTAGCTTCTTGCACCCAACGGAGGGAAAAAATAACAAGACAGTAATGCGACGCATTTTCGTTAAATCGGTTAGAACCAGTCATATATATATATATACTTCTATTTGACGCTACCTATGTCTTACACTAAGCAAGTACTGATGTACGACTATCAATTTGGGAGTCAATTACTTCACTTAACCATCCATATTTTCATGGAACATAAACAAATACAATAGATCACAGACAAATTTTTGGCACCATTCTGAGCGGTGAGTTTAATTGCATCATTGTACAATTATTTCCCTAAATAATCTTGGTAAAGGTCAGCTATGCTATCTGCTGAATTCAAATTTTTAAAACTGATGAGTAAAAAGAATACAACAGAGCAAACCTAACAAAAATTAACGGATATCCTGCAAAAACTGAATCACTCATTGAGGCCGAAATGTTTGAATCTGAGACCATCTGGCTCAAATATATCCCAAATGTATGGATTGCCGATAAAACAGAAGAAAAGTACCACATTTAGGCGTATCCTTGACATAATGAATTCACCTTAGCATTGAATTGCTCAATGGTTAGTAAACCTGATAGGACCAATCCGAAGGCAAATTTCCCGTCACTCACTCTTTGACTTTGATAAATCCATTGAAAATGTCAACTATTCTAATCAAATTATGCTTTCATTAGATGTAGCTCTCATTATTTACCTATGTCCAATTAGTCCTAGTATTAAATTAAATGGTGACTAGTGGTGGATTCCAGGATGCGCATTTCGTCATATTTGGGACTCGCCAACTGAATGTACCTGCATTCTCCAGTGAGTAATGGTGTTCCCACTGCGGCTCTAACCCAGTACCCATAGTTTCAAACGCCAAGGCGTTATCCACTAGATCACTTGGGCCACGACAGCCACCTTTTGTGCTACGGGTGTCAGTAAATATTTAATTCAATTTAAACTGCTAGGCAGGAAAACCCTCGTATTCTTCTTAGGAATAGCTTTTACCCTCTGATTTATATACCATTGGATTCCTCTCGACGAGACGAACCAATTGGTACCTGTCTCGTCCCTGTAGGACTTACGGTTGCGGGATATGGATTTTTACAGTTTTGCAGGTTTTCCCCATTGTGCCTTTGTATAGTAATATACAGGGTATTTTTAGCCAATGAGAATTAAGCTTTTGTTTATTAGGCGTAGTTAGGCACTTTGTTTTAATTGATGATGCGCGCGAAGGCGCAGCTGAAATTGTGGCATGGCGTGGGACGGATGGCTGGTTTTCGGCGGCCAGCCCCTGCCACTTGGAGGCATATGATGGCTTCCAAGCCTCATCAATGGAATTATTTGGTAAGTTTATTTTATTTATTTATTTATTTTTTTTTAAATTTTTTATACTATTTTTATTAGTAGTTTTCATGTTTAGGCTAGGTTTTAGCTTCATGTTTACTATGTTGGGGCATCTAGGGACCATACGGTCATAGTTTGTTTAGGGATGCTCTGGCATAGGAAAGCTATATATCAATCGATAGCTCTCGACGAGATCTATCCTTTGACATTGGTTTTCGACCCTTGTAGCCTCTCCTCAGCCTTCCTCAGGATCTTTGATATCTGGGCTTCCGCCCTCTGGGGTTATGCTGCCAAAATTTTTCCAGGGAGGCTAGGACTTAGGGAAGCTATATATCAATGGATAGCTCTCGACGAAATCTACCCATTGGTACCGGTTTCACACCTTATAGCTTCTCCTCAGCCGAATAGGGAATTTTTTCAAAGGCTACAGGGGAAACCTGTTTCTAGGCCTAGAGTTCATGCCGCTGGCTGTTCTCTTGACATCTTTTAGCTCCGCGACCTCAGGTTGTATGCCGTTGTGTATGTAGCTAGGGGGCATTACCAACCATAGGGCAGCAGGGGGGCAGAGACTGCTAGGCAGGAAAACCCTCGTATTCTTCTTAGGAATAGCTTTTACCCTCTGATTTATATACCATTGGATTCCTCTCGACGAGACGAACCAATTGGTACCTGTCTCGTCCCTGTAGGACTTACGGTTGCGGGATATGGATTTTTACAGTTTTGCAGGTTTTCCCCATTGTGCCTTTGTATAGTAATATACAGGGTATTTTTAGCCAATGAGAATTAAGCTTTTGTTTATTAGGCGTAGTTAGGCACTTTGTTTTA